TCAAACCCCTCAAGCCCCTCAAACCCCTCAAACCCCTCAAACCCCTCGAACCCCTCAAACCCTTCAACCCCTCAAACCCCTCGAACCTGGCCAATGGTTCTGCCATACTGGTCGCTTCAAGCCCCTCAAACCCCTCGAACCTTGCCAATGGTTCTGCCAGACTGGCCGTTGGAGACGCTCCAAAACCTCGCACTTGCTAGACTGTGGGCCCTGGGCTCTGTGCGCTAGCCGTTGGAGACGCTCCAAAACCTCGCACTTGCTAGACTGTGGGCTCTGGGCTCTGTGCGAGACTGTGGGCGGAGTTGCGCAGACTGTGGGGTCGGGGCTTTGAATAATTCCTGCAGAAAGACAAAAACGGCAAAATGAAGGAACCCGTGTTGAGCTGGTAGTCGAAGAGCTGCAAATCGTTGGGAACAAAGAGGGGCCCCCCTAGGTAGAGAAGGTATAAGTATCTTGAGTATGGCTTTAACTTGGAGAAGTCTGGCTTTAACTTTGTTACCTTGGTTAAGTTCCTTGAGTTCTATCCGAAAGTTAGGTTACTTGGAACTTTGTTTTAAGAGTTATGGAAGTTATGTCCAAGAGAGTTCTCGAGCTTACAGACCGTTATGAACTAGAAGCACGATTGGTTCTGTGGGGTCGGCGGCAGGGGCGGCAGCCCTTAAATCCGGGCGCCGGCCACGAAGCCCGTGCCCTGCCCGGAGGGCCTTCGGTGGTAACCGAAGGTTATAGACGGTCGCGCCGGCCGCCGCCGACCCTCGTCACCAAACGGGGGGACCACCGGGTCACTGAAGCCCCTGTAATTTACAGTGTATCGTGTGTGTGAGGTATAAAAAACACTGTGCTTTACAGGGTTTATTGCGCATATCGAAGTACGACGCGGGGAAAATGGAAAAATGCAAAAATGCTGTGCTTTTCAGGGGTGGTGTCGGTAATGCGGGCCCGGCGGACAGGCTTAATCGACATTTTGTGGGTAGAGGCCCTCCAGACGACTTACATTTCCTAACATATCCTCAACATAGGCCCAAGATAGCCAACATATCCCCAACATATGCCCAACATAGCCTCCAAGATGGCTCAACATAGGCCAGCATTGGGCCAACATGGGGCCAACATACGCCAACATAGGCCCAACATAGGCCCAACCTAGGCCAACATAGGCCTAACATAGGCCAACATGGGCTCAACATGGGTAGGGCCAAGATGCGCACCAAATAGCTTAACTTTGCTCAATATAGGCCCCACCAAGGCCAACATAGGCGTGACATACGCCCCACAGACCCAAGTGGGCCGGCGCCCGGCTGTTAGGCGTAAGCCTTTAAATTATAGGTCCAGATATGTCCGAAACAGTGTTGATTGATTGTGGGGATCTCCAGTTTTGTCGGCTGTTCCTCCAAGCGAGAAGAACATCCCAAGCAAGCGCCACCAAGGATGTACACAGTACACCTTTGAATAAAAACAGGGACTAGTCATGATCTCACATAAAAACTATAGCAACTGGAGGTGCACCCGGTCATCTGTATGTCCCTCCCAGCCGCCCTGACCCAGCTAAAACCCCCATCCAAACTCAAGGTGCCAAATGAATCTGAAAGCAATGGAGCTACTTCCAGTTCACCTGGTAGAAAGTCCCCAACATTCTTGCTGGTCGTAATCTTCACTGATGGGAAGGATTCTGTCACCATCCCGGTTTCTCACCCAATCATCTCCCAAACTTATGGCCCAGGCCCTTCGTGCCCCACCCCAACAAAGGCGCTCGCCGGTGACTACCGTCCACCTCTTGCAAGATCTTCCTCCACTCAGTCGCCGTCATCGGCTGGGGCCTCCCCCGTCATTCGCGACCGCGTGTCGACCAGACCGAGGGACACATCTCTCGGGGCCCAATGGTCGGATAAGAGAATTGAACCGAGTGTTCGAAGGTCAAATTGCAAAGAATTGATCACGAAAAAATGGTCGGATGATGTCGGATACGAAAGACGGATGTCTGCACTGTTTTTGGGCGACTGGTTTTTTCTGATGCCCGATGTTTTGTGGCGCAGACGGAGGAATTTGTTGAGCTCAAATGCCAGCGCTTCAACAGCTCAGAAATTGCGGGTTCCGGGTTTATTTTGACTTATAGAGCAAAATGAGCAAATTCTGTTTCGTTCATGACCGAAACAACTGGTGTACAAGCGCCAGCGAGCACCAGTTGTGGTGCACAAACTTGCCATGGTACGAAATGGCCTTGCAATGCCAGTCCCCAAAAAAGTCTTCCAATTTCATGAATGTGTTCAAGGAACCTGGAAAAAAATAACACCAAAAATATCCGCAAAAGCGGATTTACCCAGCTCGGGCCAAACTGGGAATTGCTGGACCTGCTTCGCGCGGGTGCCGCGCGGGTGCCGCGCTCCACCCGCGCCTCTCATTCTCGGGCCGCCCATCTTTGTTGGCCTCACCGCGGCCAAACAGAGAAGTGGTGCGATCGAGGAAAACAGGTTGTTGCAGAAGGTGTTTGAAAAGGAGACCCTCAAGATGTTTGAAATGGTCCATCAAGCGGGTGGATGCGGGTGGTCAGTTTATGATGTAAAGTTTATGCAAGGTTCATGTGGGGTGTCACTCCTTGGCAGAACCAAAGGAATCTTACTTTTGATTTGGGTTTGGGTCACGTCACGCTCTAGTCGACATGAATGAACAAATAGCCTGCCAGCCGAATAGAATAGCCTACCAGCAGATGCAAGAGGTAACAACTATTGTACGTCGAGTGTGCAGAACCATCGACTTGCAAAAACGACGAGTCACGACGACAGTCGGCTCAGCTCCAGCTTCGGAAAGCACGTCAGCATACCCGGTTGTACTGGGACCCAGGGTCAGTACAGGATGTTGATCCACTCAGCACGGCGGGTTGGTGGTTTTCATCCGGCGAATCGTGCGGCTTTTTTCCGCCTCAAAGTACTCCCTGGCTTTCACCAACGCCCGGGCAGCTTCCACGGCACCCAACCTGGGGAGAAAGAGAAGCTTTTTGGATCAGAAGTAAGGCACTGAAGGCACGAAGGCGCTGACGAGACATCTCTGAGGGGCGGCATTTTCGTGGAGCCGTACGGTGTGTTGTCCGGAAAAGGGCCAGCTCTGGGTGAAAGGCTACCGGAAACCGAACATCCAAGAAGCAGGGTGTGGCCACATGGGACTGGAACCATTGGGACTCTGCATGTGTTGGGTCATGTTGAGTCCTATCTGATCCTCTTCTTTGTGCTTTTGCCAACGCGGCCGGACGCCCATCGTCCTTTGGATTCCGCTTTGTCCAGCGAGCTGGGTCACAAATCCGAGGGATGGGGGTCTGGTCATGGTGATGGGTCACTCGAACACCACGCCAAAACGAAAAGGGACCAAAGAGTCTGCGTTTTGGACAGGTCCCAAATCCACGAAAACTCGAACTTCACGGTGTCTGTTCGACGGGGGTCCTTTGATCACAAACCGTGCCGACATCGAAGGAGCACCAAGCGGAGCTGGTTCCGGTGGGAAAAGGTTTCATTGATCAACATGACAATGAACAAGGGGTGCGTTGAGACCATGTGCCCATGTGTGCAGTGTGCATGTGTGTGTGGACAAAACCAGCGCAAACCAGTGCAACGAAATAGTACCGGGTGTCTTGAGACAGCTCTCGAAGCTGTCAACTGCCATGATTTTAAGAACTATGTACTATGGACAGCTCCATGTGGATCTTTCTTTCCATCCTACAGTCTACTGTGTGTGTCATATGTCTGAAAGCTTCCAAGACCCGGGTGTTCTCCCGAAAACAGCCTGGGTGTTTCAGTGCCCAACCAAAAAGAAGAGGCGTCCATCCCAAAAGCGAGGCACTGAGCTTGGGCAGCCCGACCGACCGGTACGCGCAGCACGGTGGGGCGGTCTCCAGCGGATCGGGTGTGTCTCATCTCAGCCCGTTTTCTGCAAACAGGTGTTGCGAGCAGTTCCACTTCCAGGAGTCCTCTACAAGTATGTTGATATATCTGAACCATGGGGTCATTTGCACCCATGGTTCTTGGCCTGCATCACATGGGTGTGTATTAAGCTAGGGAGACCTCCTGGGCAACGACCCGAAATAGACCAAAACTCATTGGTTAGGAGTCTCTCTCTCTCTCTATGAAAATTCATGCTCCCTATTGACATGCACACCCATATGATATGCGTGTTGAGGTCATGAGATGTCATGAGTCATGACTCACGAGTCAAAAAGCTCACCGAGCCCTGGTCGCCCTTTCAGGCTTCCAGCAAGGCTGCTGCGCGCATGGCATCCACTTCTCCACCTCCGTGACAGACATCGAAGACACAGTCGGCAAAAACCCAGGGATCACCTCCAGGGCGTGGGACGCGCAGACCGCCGACCGACCGCGGGACGGTCGGGGCCAGGCGCAGACGGGCGACTGGTCCAACCCTGAAAAGTGCATAGGACGACGGCCAAAGGGACGTGTGGCCAGGCCGTGGTGTTTTTGTGTTTGGACGATTTGGGACGCAGCGTTCAATGAGGACGGTGGTTAAAAACACAGAGGTGTGAGACATGTGGGGAAAAAAAAGAACGTAGCTGTCGAAACGACGAAAGAAGCTAATTACATGTGAAGCAAAATAAAAAATGAAGTGCATGATGTATCAATGATTCCCGTCCCTCTGACCAAAAAGAGTCTCATTTGGGCACTCCTGAACCTTCCTTCTGCAAGTGCTTGGCACAAATCTTTTCGGCGTCTTCCTCCTGAGACTTCGTGCAAGCTTTGCTGACCAAGGACGGTCCAAGTGGCCGTTGCTTCGTCAAATACGCATCAGCAGACTCACTACCACCCAAGCTGGCCCAGGAGTCGTGAACCTCCGCGCATTGAGAAGCACTGAGAAGCCCAACATGTCTTTTGTTTTGATTCGGATTTCGCTTAGTTTCTGTTTCGCATGCATGAACATCAACCTTCCCCCTACCTCAAACTCAGCATCGGTCTTTGTCTCCATCATTGTTTGCGGCGAAGATGAAACGAACGAGGGGTTCTGCGGAGGGGCAGATCCAAGTTCGCCCCCCACGTGGTCAATGTCACTCTTCTCGGACATCACGAGTTTGAAGTCCAGATGATCTTCGGGCCTGCAATGAGCGATGACCCTTGCGACCTTCCTTTCGTCCTTCTCGGTCTCGGACTTGATATTCAAGTGGATCTCAGCTCTCATCAAGAGGAAATCCTCTGCCTCTGTGCGATTCGGCTGCTCCTTGAAGTCAAGGCTCGTGACGGAGTCTCCTTTCGACAAGCGTTCTTGATGCACCCTGCGCCATCCAGAGTTCTCCTTCGTGCGCCATGTGCAGTCTTTGGCTGTCATCTCGATGGTCACTCCGGAATGCTTGTCCAAGAGCAGCAAGCCCTGAGTTGTGAATTGCGAGCCGGCGTAGCAAGCAAAAAGCTGCCACTCCACTTGGGCTTTGGAGAAGCTCCAAGCCAAGAAAGTGCCTTCCTTCAAAATGGAGTAGTGAGCACCTCGAAGAGTGTAAATGTGGGGATCACCGCCACCACCTGCCGTTTGAGTGCTGGTGGTTGTGGTGGCCTTGGGATCGCAGTAGCAGACCCTGCGAAAATTGTTGTCCGAGGCGGTGGCGCTGCACGTGGAGGCGACGGTGCCGGTAAAGCAAAAATTGATATTGCTGATCCACCCTGGCGCCATTTGACCCGCGAAGGGGCTAATATTAGCTTGGCAACTTCCGCCATTGGCTACAACCACTTCACGCAGCGTTGTTGCGTCGATGCTCTTGGTCTTTGCGGCGTTGCATTCATCATGCTGTTCGCTGGCACGGCAGGCACCAGTGCAACTCTGTCCTGTTCGCCATGGTCAAATTATATCCCATGCTTATTGATCTTCTGTTCGTCTTTGAGTTCACAAAGCTCTGCCCACTACGGGATTCGAAAGAACTTTAACTTAGTGAGCTAGTGTCCTAAGGGTCCTAGGTGTTTCACAGGTGAATGGCTACGCCTCCAGCTGCCACGATCCAGCCGCTGTCGAGGCCGTTGGTCGATCCACTTTGCGCCTGACAAGTGTCACAAAACATCTCAAAAAAAGATCGACTTTGAGCAAGTGCCAAAATGCCATCGACTGATCGATCGGTGCGAAACCGATCGAAAGGGGGCCGAGTTTCGCTCGCTGTCGCAAGAACGCTGCTGTCTACAGCTTTCGTGTGGGTCTGGATGTCTACAGCGTATGTGGGTGCGGTGCAGTGCCTGGGAGTTTGGATTTCCAGGGGTCTCCCCGGGGACACGATACACATCCAAATGAATCACCATGAACTGGACAATGGCCTGGACTTGCAGCATGGATGTATCCTCACATACATCAACTGCTTGAGAGATCGCCAGCTGCACCAGCACTGCACACATTGCTCTGGCCATGGCCATAGGATGCTATGGTGCACTGAGAAGGCTCGGTTATTGATCGAAAATGGCTCAGAGGCGCACAGTAAGCCTATGCAGAGCCTGGCTGTGGCGAGAGCTCCACTCTCTGGCCATGCGTCGTAGGTGCTTTTGGCTCCACGCGGAATTCGGGTCAACAGCCGACGTCGTTGAGACCCAAGGTGTCGTTGAGGACAGCGTCTTTGGAGAGCGAGCTGGGTCCCAAGTCCGTATGGTATGGGGATTATGGTATGGACGGTATGGATAAAGTCGAAAGCAACCAAAGAGTCTAAACCGGACATGTCCCAACACGAAGACGCTTGATGTCGTGTCCGTTTGGCCTTTGGAAAAAAGGGCATCGTTCACGCACCGTCCGTTCGTTTCCGCATCCTGTCCTACGGCCTAAGTCCTGTCCGGAACACGGGGGGCCGAACTGACCAGCAGTCCCGCGCGCGCACTGGGACCCCCAGCTTCTCCACTAAATCATCGATGCCCTCGAAGTCCTGGGGACGGATGGACGGTGGGAATGCCTCACAGGTTCGATGGCCAATGGTTCGGTCCTATCAGCCTTGTTACAATCCAATCAGTGGTGACTGAACAAAGGACGGTGAGTGAACCTTTTGGCTAAAGGGTGATGTTCACCGAAACAGCCACGGATTCCAAGATCCAGCAGTGGTCCTATCACATCGCCTGCGGGCAACTATGCCATCCGCCAGCACAACCACGGCATAGGCAAGTTTTGGAAGAATACTAGACTGGGGCTTTGAAGGGACTATTACGGAGTCTACTGACTGGGTATTCTTTTGGGTGGGCATCAATGAGGGTGAGCTCCTCTGGGTCTTAAGATGCTTGCTGAAGGCCACCCCAGTCCAACACCCCAGTGACCCGAATTCCCCAGTTTGGAGGTGACTGGATGGAGGGAACCCGGATTCAAGAAGGTCCGACATGCGAAATGCACTCCCTGAAACGGAAAAGTTCGGCCCTTGGAAGACCATGAAGTCCTCTACAAAGGGGGTCTCCTCAGCTTCCATGATGGTCTGGGAGGGTAACAGGACCCTCCAACAGGCTGTTTTGGGACCCGAACAGGTGGTTTCGATCGGCTTTTGGGTCTGCAGCGGGCATTTTGAGACCTCGCACCGTTTGAAACCCCCCCCCACTCACTCGCCACCCCTTTCGCTCCGCCGCTTGACCGAACTGATCCACCGGCGAACCCACACGCGAACCAACGATCCAACGGAACGCAGCAGCTCTTGGAACGCAACCTCCATCTCGGTGGCAATGTCATCGGAACGCGGGAATGCGAAGCATCATCTCATGCGACCCCGCACGCACACAGAGCACACGCGCCGTGGATGCCGCTTCCACACCATCCCCGGGCATCGCCAGTCCTGCTCAATGCCTCGCATATCTACTGGCAGGAGCTTCTCCTGGTCCAGCGAAAAGGTGGAGGGTGAAGAAGGTGAGATGCGCAACTGAGCTCAAGTTTTGTCTCTTTTCCTGTGTGACCTTTAGGAGACCAATTCCCTGCTCTAACTGCATGTGATTGGAGAGTTCTGATATTGCAAGATCTCTACCTTGGATGCAATGATTAGTGGCCATGAACACTCAGGATTTGTCAATTCGAAGCAACTGCGGAGTTGAAAGACCTATTGGCCGATTTAGGGAAGGGTTGTGGTCTACTTCCATGACTGAAGTTCCACCCCCAATTCTCAGAGCCAGCTGGTATCCTCCCAGCAAGCTCCACACTCACCGGCTCACCTCATCTTGCAGTTCGCTGGGGTCCAAGACCTTCTCGAGGCTTTTATTGATCTCCTGTAGCGCGTGATAGAATACGTGATAGAAGATGTGATAGAATATGATATTCTATCGGGAAGTAAGCCCTTTGTTTTCAACCCGGATCAGTGATCAGTGATCAGCCATGGGTTCAGTAGCTGCCCAGGCCGGCCTTTGAAAGGACAGTATGTGAGTCCTGGTCTCACTGGTTTGTTTCACTTGACCTCTCGGCTTTGCCGTGTCCAACTCCAGGTGAGACAGCCAGGTACGATGATTGAAAACCCCTCAAAAGGAGGAGCCTCTAACCACGGTTGAAGCGACCCACTCCCAGCAGCTTCATCATTGAGAACAAGAAAAAGAACGCCAACGTGCTGCGGGCAAAGGGGGGTCATGTGGTCATTTTTGCAGTCAAAAAACTCCATCTTGCCGACATCCATCACAAGAATCTTCCAAGCTCCCGCCCGACAGATGTTCACGTTCTCCTCTCCTCCACACCAAGACTTTGGGAGGTCTGATACATCGTGGTACACCCAGCTTGCAAAAAGAGGATTCTCTGTGGCGCGGGGCTTGAGCGCAGCTGGCAGGGTCTCCTCCTCGCTGGGCTTCTCCTCTTTAAGCTTCTCCTGTGGAGTGGCGGGTGTCAGTTTTTCCTCCTCTTCGGCCATCTTCCGAAGAAGCTCTAAGTACATGGATCGAAGAATTCTCTCACCTTGATTGCCGTATTCTCTGCCCACCTGGGAGGTCGTTTGGCTTACAGTCTTACAGCGGCCGGCCAGGGTGTCATTGCGTCTCACTGAGCTGGGAGGGACGTGAAGAGGTCAGAGAGAGGCCCTTGGCACGGCCCTTTGAGATGACCAAATCCGGTGCTCCGTTTCCATCAGGACACCTGGCCTGGAAAAGGGGCGAGGTTGGGTGGTCACATGCTGAAAAAACAACCACTGCAGGCAAACACCCCAAAAGACCCCCAAAGATCGGATGTTTGACAGAGTCAGAGTCAGAGTCTCTTAGCTCAAAAAAGCTGAATCCACCAGTTAGATGCTGGTTGAAGATGGTTGAAGTTAAGAGAAGACACAAAACACATAGGTACCCGGACCCTGTGACCTCTCTTTCCTGCAGAGCTGCGCAGGAAACCACCACCTGCTCGCGTCCGATTTTCAGCAGCTCCAGCTCCAGAAACCCCGGGAGATCGCCTTCATCTGCTGCAAACTCGATTCCGGCAGGTAGTACAAATCCTGCCACGCCGTGAAAATCTCCCTTTTTTCCTTCCTCCATCCAATGTCGAAACCGGGGGTGAAGGTCTCCGACCAGACCCTCCCATGTCGGACCTCGTCAAAGCCTGGATCGAAAAGCATATCTACTCTATGACCATATTGTACCTGGTACCTATATAGTCGCAGCCTATGACCCTCCAAGTACCCACCCCAGGATGAATCGAGCAACGGGGCCGGGGACATCGGAGATCAAAGGCGGCCGACACTGAGGCACCGCGCACCTGGAACAAGCGGAAACATTCACGACATGGCCATCTACAGTATATGGGCCAGGACCCTCAAAGTGACCTCTTTGGAGTCTCTAAGTGACCTTTAACAGGCCTGTTCGTAACCTCATCGTGGGATCTCAAGGACGGTCACTTTGAAGGTCCTGGGGTGTGTATCTTCATGGGAGACTGGGTTTTGATTGATTGTCCTTCTTCCTCCGGGTTCTTTGGGAGGTCTCCCTATTTGATACACAAACCCAGGCTTCCCTTGTGCCCCGAGAAGGATACCAAAAGCAGCACCAAACCCGCCGCCGACACCGAGATCCAAAAAGAAACACCCCAGCCACCTCCCCATCCAGCCCATCAAGAGGATCTGCAGACTCCTGGCTGAGCTGAAAGATGCGAAACCGTGGGAAGAGCTGACGGAGACCCGGGGCTGATGGGATGAAACACCCCATTCATGGGCTGATGGGGTGTCTGCTTTGAAGACCGACCCTACCAAGCACCTCCAACTCCAACATGTCGTGGGGTGGGACTGGACCTGTCTCCTTTCGACTGAGGGGAACGTGAAGTACACGAGCTGAGGACAAGAGCATCCTATATGATCTCATATGAGATCTTCACTATAGGGGAAGAGTGCGTCTTCCAAATCGTCATCTGTGACTCCCCAAGTCCTCTATGGGGACTTCCATTGCAAAACACTGAACGCAGCAGGCGGCGAACTCCAGTGTTCAACTCCCCACGCCACCCCGAACCCGGCGCGAACCCCCCGCGCACCCGGCGTTGGAGCCGGTCGTCCGGGCTCGGGTCCTCTGCCATGAGAAGCGGCTCCGGCTCAGCTCACACCCCTCAGCGCGGGCCGAGCTCGGCGAAGGAACCGTTGGAGCGAAGGATGAAGGAACCGAATCGGCCCCGAACGCGGAGGACGAGTGGTGCTAAGTGGAGTGGCTCCACTCAAACTGGGCGCCATTGAGACCGGAGTTGGCCCAGTTGGTCAAACAACACCAGGCCTTTTTTGTTACATGATTTTAGTTACTCCCCTGCAGATTAACATGGAACCCCCAAAACCACGTCGGGTTGTAGAGGAAAAAATAGTCTTCCACCGGTCAATTCTCAGGTTCCATGTCAGTTCGTGGGAGGGTAAACTATATAGCAATGGGTTTTGCTATGGCCGATGCTCTGGCGAATCTCGTCTCGCCATCGGAATCCGGAACCACCACGCAAGAAGCCAGCGTCACCCAGGAATTCCTTTGGAAGATGGTGTGCCTCTGCGGAAGTACCTGTGTTCTATATGTTTTGGGGTATGTATGTCATCATTATATATCCCAATCTCCTACAGTCACAGTGGACCACATGATGGTTCAGTTGTAGTGATGTTCTTAGTTTACCGACTTTTGCAGGCTTTGGCGAAGTACCCGGATGTACCCGGATGTCCGAGCGGCCGCCAGGCTGCCGGACTCGGGAGGCTTCGCGGGGGTCCAGTTGGAGCTGGGCCAAAATGGAGCGGGGGAAGAAGCAGAGGTGAAAGCGAAACAGCCGGAACGTCGCAAGGTCGACAAACTGGACAGTCCACACGAGCCGAAGAGTCATCAAAAAAAGACGTCATGAAGGTAGGTCATCTCATTGCACATCAATCGCTTCACCCAGACTTGGAGCGGCCGCAAGGTTCAAGGCTGTCAGCACCACACTTCACTTACTTGAACTCACTAAAAATGGAAAATATAAACTGAGAGGAGGTCGCAGTCCCAAAAAGGTGGTTTATATGGATCCACATATCTATAATATCTATCAAAGACATCTTGGGGTTGTGCCATCTACGTCTGCGCCTCCGTAAACCAAAAGGTCTGGACATCACCATTCACCAAATGAGAAGGACCGAGACACTTTTCGACCTCAGGTCACCAGGTCAGGTGAGTCTTCCGACCGCACGTCCTTTTGGTCCCCTACCGGCCGGTAGATCTTCAAAGCAGTCGACCGCACTGCGAAAGACAGGTCATGTGCATTCTGGAGAAATTCTGAAGAACTGCACACTGCTGCCAGTGCAACTCCTGCAGGAGGGCATGGGGAGAGTGAGCCCCGTTCAGTTGGCGTTGTAAACGCTCACGGCATGACTTTGCTGTTGCGGACCAAGCGCGCCGGCCAATACCGCTTCGCTCCGCAGCTTCGCTTCGCTGAACGATCCAAAAATTCAGGTCTGAGAAGGTCTCCCAGTGGTACTTTCTACCCCTTTCGGAGCGGGGAGAAGTCCCGCCCTACAGCATCTGGGGAGCGCTTGCTCCCTGTGTGTTCACTGCATGGCCGTGCTTCCCCTGCCCCCCAAGCTGCAACATCAACGTGGCACCTATCAAGATCTATCAACTGAAACTACTTGCCTTCGGAAACATGCGGAAACAGTGTTCAGCTAGCTGGCGGTTGAACGATGTCTGGTAGGATAGTGGCACCTGCAGCCCATGGCATCCCAGAACGATGGCTCCACTCGATTCACTTTATCCCTGGCAGCATGAGCTCAAAGCAATTGACTCCCACTGGTTCCAGGTAGAGCAGAACCTAATACCAAAACAACCAACCACTACATCAGATTCAGAGACCTGCTTTCTGTACTTCATGGCTTGCAGGTGTTGATCATGGCCAAAGCGATCTGGACCAAGTCATCAACTCAGATACAAGAGCATCGTACCAGCGCATCAACTGCTCAGAGACAGACCTAAGTGTTGCTCGAATATCACAGGAGCCTGATTTGTGCTGTCCATCAAAGCTTGTTGACTGTCCGCGCCGACCTGTGATGTCAACATCTTCTTAGGGATTTATACTTGCTGCGCGAATGGGTGGTTCATCCGAACGCACACCATGTACGACTCTAGATTTATGCTTGCCTCTAAACTTCAGACTTGCTATATATCTTAGCTGCCTTGAATTCGCTCTTGAACCAGAACGTTGAGGGCCAAGCGCATTCTTCTTTGGAATCACCACCGAAGCAAAGAACATCAACAAAACAGCCACTGTACATCCTTTTTGTGTGCGTACGTGCACGGTTCAAAACTGAACACATGATCGGAACCTTGATGGCATCTCACTCCCCATGAACAGAAGTTTAATCCATTGTTGAAGCTCAAACCATGTCATGTCCGCTTTTGCTGACAAGCTCACCAGGCCACGCACATCTGCCACCCAGGTCAGGCTTCGCATTTGCCCACTGTACCACTGTGACCTCTGCACAACAAAATTGAAGGCATAAGGTCTACGGCAAGTCTACAATCCAAACAACATCAGATTCCCAAAAGACCCCTCCGGGTGTCTCATGTTGACCCCTTCTGTGTCCGTTCATGTTGACCCCTCCGGCTCCGTTTTCCAGACCGCCACTCCTCTCGGCCACCCAGACCGCACAGGTCGCGTCGTGTCACGAATTCGGGCCGCGCTGGGCGGTCTCTCCGCCGCGGTCGCTCCGCAGCTCCGCTGCACCGTGCGTCGCGACAGGCAGGGCGACTGGGCGACTGCACCGGGCGGTCGGACAGGGTCTGCTAGAAGTCCAAGCGTTCGAGGTGGGGTTCCGGTGGTTCCGGGTCCATACATACGCCCTATTTCAGCGGGGTCCATCCACTGTCTTTTGGAAGGTGATTATATGATATAAATATATATATATAGATAGAGAGAGAGAGAGAAAGAAGTAGTAATTCCAAAAACAATCTGTTTCAATGGTAAATAGCTTGTAAACGCGCCCCTGGGTATGCCTGGATATGTCCATCTCTCTCTTCTCAGAGACGGCCAAAAACCAACGTGGCTCCCTGGACGTTCGACATGGGGGACGGATATCACAGCTCATGTACACCTGGCTGCCCTTCCCCGGCCCCCAGACTAACTAGCACCCAAGACCGAAGACCATGGCCCAAAAACGTCCACATCTGCGAGGGAAGGCTCGCACCAAACCGTGACCAAACCGTGAACCCAACGAACCCCCCAGCCGCGCCGATCCGTCGCCGGTCGCCGGTCCCGTGGCTTTTCCACGGGGTCGGGAAGACGAGTGTTCCTCAGTCGCCCTTGTCGGCCTGGTGCGACGAAGAGCGGTGTTCTGAAGGGGTCATGGACCACTACATTCTACATACCAAGAACTATAGATCAGGATATAGAACTGTGTAGGCACCTTGTCGCACGAACAGCAATCATATGACTATCTATCGATGTGCCAAAGAGGAGAGATCTTCGATCACGGCATTGCTCCGGTTCTTCCAAACTCTTCGAGCACGCAGTGGCACTGTTCGGATGGGTGGTGGCACCGGTGAAGGCTCGCAAGCTCGCAAGCTCGCCTGTGCCCCCACCCAGCCAAGACCGCCATTCGAAGCACCGGACGACTGTGCCAAGACCGGTTTCCTCTGTTGAGTGATCTGAAAGGGGTCGAAAAAGACTGACTTGCGCCAGATGCTGAGCGAAGACGTTGCTCGGAGCACCGCTCAAATCAAGTAGAATGAAACCATGACATCGCTGGGAAGCGATGGACCACATGTCCCCTGCCACCTCCGCCGGCGACCTCCAAGCTGAGAACCCCCCAAGTCCGAAGACCAGTCCTTTGGCACCAACCGAAGCAAAGGAAATCACTGTTCAGGTCACCTAAAGGACTTTAACACACCAGTTGTTCAATAGTAGTGGACTCCCAGCAATTCCATGTCCACCGAAGCAGTTCGGGCCGTCGGGTGCCAACGGCCGAGACGTCCTCCCCGCCTTCCGCGGAGGGGGCGTTCGAGTTCTTCGCTGGGCGGGCACCCCTTGGGTGAGCGAAGGGGCGTTGAAGCTGGCGCCCCTTCCTGTGGTACACTCCCTATCGTCATGAAAGTGGATGGTACGACCGGTTTGGTCTTTGGAAAATGGATGGATGGTTTGCAAGTTACACCCCCCCTCACAGCTCTTGCCTCAGGCCCAAGGCTTTGGCCAAAGCGGTTTGCAAACTTAAATAGCTCTCCCTGACAGTCCAGCCATAACTCAGTTTAATTCATTTCACCCTTATGAATCCCTGATGGGTGGTGCATTTGGACTCCCAGGTGTTTCGTGTAAATGGTGAATGATAAAGCCTAAGGAATGCATGAAGGGAGTTCCATTGTTTCAAGGCTAAGGAAGCGTACAACCACTTCGCCAAGCGAACCCTGAAAACCTCCCCTCACCTGTTCGATCGCCTGCTGCAACGGGCGAAGCAGTCGCTCCGCGTGTCGCGCGGGGCGCGGCCGGCGCGGTCGGAGCGGCCTGGCACCAGGCAGAGTGATCCCTTTTTGGGGCCCATGAAGCAGATGGGAAGTGCTTTGAATTGATCTCGGCTTGGCGACTTCCAAAGATTCAAGATGATTCAAGGATCTCGGAGGCCAGAATAGGGGTCTCAAGATCCACCATCCGTTAGAGATCCTTAGAGCATGAATTCAGGTGTTGGATTTCACTTCTCCTTCGAAGTTCCCGTCTCCTCTCCTTCCCACGCGTCCAACAGATGCAGGGCTCCGGTTTGGAATCCCTACTACTCCAAGTTTGGCCACTCAAAATCCCCTTGTGAGCCCCAGGACAAGCCTGCAGGAATTGCCTCAGGACCTCCACATCTGCCACATCCCAACGCACATTCGAACACATGCACCTTCGCAGCACTTGCTGGTAGTGTTGCAGCAGCAGCAGCTGCTGCTGCTGCGCTGCCCTTACCTTGGCATGGAGATGGTGTGCAGGGAAATGTCTAGAGTCTAGACCCAAAGGTCAACCAATTCAGAAAATGTCTTTCACACGTTCACACGTTCTGAGCAGCAAGTTTGAAGAGTCGGGCGCCCTGGGCGCCCTGGGGAGAACCCGGGTTCCATGGTGACGGCGGAGTCTGCGGCGCCCTGGGGGGGATGACGGTAATGTAACTGTATAATGTATATATGTTTCAAGTCACAAGTCAGAGAGTTGCACACCCGATTCGATGCTTTACATTCTTAGCTGTTCTTCCTGTGCTGTTCTGAACAGAAACCGGAGAAAAAGCTTTGCCTGGCAGTCCGTCTTTGTCCTCTTCTCAGTGAGGGTCTCCCAGCAAACTGCGTCCCCCCGCCGCCTTAAGGGGTCTAGAGGTCCCGACCGACCTGCACCGACCTGCTCCGGGAACGGTGCGGGTTTTCGTGTTGAATGAGGTGGACACAGGGCCCAAGAGGTTCCCGGCTTTGGGGAAGAATAGAATGTCCCTGGCCTGAAGGCCAGAAGTCTGAACATCTTAGCCAGAACACGTTCATCCACATCTTCCAGCGTTCAGTGCCGCTGGCATGCCATTCATCATGAGTAACCCAAACTGCGTCCCCCCCGGCAACCCTGCCGTGCTCGGCCACCGTGCTCGACCAAGGCAGCACCTGTGACATGGGAGGATCCGAGTCTAGATGAAGTCCGAAGTGCCACATCCGACATTTGGTGACTTCATCCAACTGGAGGGAACCTCAGCGAACCTCCAAATAGATCCAAATGCATATATGGATGTGTATTACAATAAGGAAACCCCTGGAAGAAGGGAAACAGACCAGTCCTACCCGGTGCCAGCGCTAAACCGTGGGCTTCTTCCTCTCAAGTCCTTCTTCCGGACCAAGGAGTTGGCCCGGCCGTTGACGGGCACCGAGCTCGTTGCTCTGTATGTGCTCCGTGAAAAAAAAACGCATGGGGCCTCATGAACATGGCTCATGTGCACACATGGGGGGAACCCAGGCCGTCTCACGATTGGGGAAGAAAATGCAGATCCTTCATGACAAATGCAGATCCTTCATGACATGTGCTGGTACCCATCGGCGGTCGGATGGGGTGAAGTGGTGTTCATGGTCTGAAATGGCCTGGAACTGGTCGCCTCTTCCTTGGCGCGAGTTTCTGGGCGGTGATGCTTGCTCCACACGGTCCCAATCCCCGTTGCCAATACCCTCTTGAAGTCAAAAACCACCTCTTGCAGTCCTCGTCGGGGTTGAAGTTCTCTCTACTCAATCTACTACAGCTGTTTCGCCCAGTCCCCACGCGTGCACTCAGGCCTTCTGCACCCGTTTCCAGGCACTTTGCAGCCGCTCGCCACCCTTCTTCCAGTCTTCAGCCTGGTGATGGTCCAACGGTCTTCCGGTTTTCGCAAACCCCGCACCCAGATGGACCGCCCACTTTCTCACAGGTTATTCGTGACAAGAACCATGTTCCATCCCCTCAAAACCATGTGACGCAAGCGGACGTCGAGGGGCCACTCCCAGTCCCAGTCATATATGGTCAGTCAATGAACCACTCGCAGCTTCCAGCGTCGGTCTTGAGGGCACGGCTGGGATCAGTGGCACGGAGAGCACCATCATGGTGGCCGCCATCCTGGTCGCAAGCTCCACACAGAGAGCCACGCTCGGCTCGAGGGAGCCGCCCGGCTCGGTGGAAAAAACCCAGACGTGCGCAGTGCTGGGAGCCAACATAGACGAGAGGAGGTGATGCCGGCAGAAACGCAGGGAGTGTGGATTTTGCCATATTCTGCCTTTTTGGGGGCTGTGGACCTTCTCTGTCCACAAAAGGATGATCTACTTACTGACAAATCGGCGCTGTGACCATGGTGGAACTGTTGAATTGTTGGGAAGCCTGTGGTGGTCCTTTTGCAGGAAATTATACATATAATATATCGTCTGTGGAATGTGGAGCAAATCATGCAACCCACATCAAGAACGGGGCGCATCCACTACATGTTCTCTCTGCTAGCAACAGGGATCTTTGGGGGTTCTCTGCTTTGGGGACCCGGAAAAGACCAAAGCGTTCCTCCTTTGTGGTCGAGCGGGCCCGACCCGGAGTCCGGAGGACCCGGACTCCCCTGAAACCGCCCCCCCAACAAAGACTTCACGCATACCATCACAATTCTGAAGCACCTAATGATTTCTCCAAACCAATCACCAGGATCCTCTGGCGTCCTCCTCTTGACCGGGAACCGGTTCGGGCCCCGCCCCGCACGGGACCCGACCCACGCCAGACCCGTCCCGGGCGCCCCGGCAAGCCGCCGCGCTTGGCGAGCTTCACCAAGTCCAGCCCGCTCTCGCCCACGTCCCGGAGCATACCTGGAGCTCTCCAAACCGTCGCCTCCCCTGAAAGGTCCATCGGTTCGTTCCGAAGCCAAATCCGACTTCCGAAAAGAGGTGTGCTGATGAGGTTGGTTGTGCACTGAGACCTTCGATCGCAGCCCTCTTTCCCGCACATCGCCGGATCTAGGCCCTTCAGGTGCGCACTGCCCATGGCAATGGACATGCATGCTGCTGGCTGGATCGCTAAGGTGCTCGCCTTGGGTGGAGTGAGGTGCTCGCGGTCACCGGTTCCCGCAGTCAGACCAGCTCCGGCAGTCAGACATTGCCTCCTGTTGGATAAGGATTGGCATCTCCTGCTAAAAAATGCTAAAAAGGGTTTTCTGAAACAACTGGTCTGGCGACCTGCTTCTCACTGGAGCTTCCAGATCGGTGTGGTTTGGTACAATACGCTATTGGTATCGCGTCAGTTCAACATCCTGGCTGAGGAAGTTCCTCGTCACTCCAGAAAATGATCACAGTTTCTTACCCCAGAAGTCTTGTAGACCTCATTTTACTGGAGTTAGTCATACAACAAACACAACTCGAGGAGATTTTAAAAAAGAATGTTTTACTGGATCAGACTGCACTTGTAGGATTAGGATTAGGTCCAAACTCCAAGAAAAGCTTCCATGGGATATATCGGATCCTCGATGAGCAACGGACAATTCCCTTGAATCTTTATGACCCAAACCACCTCCTTTTGAGTCGTTCATCTGCTTCTCATCTGCTCTGGGTTCATCATCTTCATCTGAACACCACATCTCGGTGTGGACTTGGGACCATCTCGTGTTAGAGACATCCCCTCCAAAGAACGACTACTCCTATATTGTTATATACTATAAGTAGTACTTCCAACTTGCATCTTCATCACGTCAAAAACGACTGCCCTTCGTAATATAGGTGTTTCCAAAGCCATCTTCAAACGATAACAAAAAGGTTGGGCAGCTCCTTCCCCAGGTTCCCACCCTAAAGAGGTTGGCTGCACTGCTCCTTCCCACTTCTCGAGCAGGCGGCGTCCTGCTCCTCCCGCTGACCTGTCCCGTGTCGGGTCTCCGGACCACGGCGAAGCACCAGAAGGGCATCCCAATCAGCGCGGTGCTGTAGTTCACGAACCTTCGCGCCGTGCAGCGGCGCATCCCAATGAAGCGGGGAATGGCTACAGAAAAGATCAGATCTATATATATATATAATATATTGTTGTATAATTGTTGTATATATGCACGCATCACAGAAACAGTGGTTACTGGACGGAAAATATTGGAAATTTGGTGTCTATAAACCATCCTTTCCGTGGTTCTGGTTTGTGTTGTGCTTTGTTTTTGTTCATCTTGTTCTCCGGTTGCCTTTGGTGTGTCGGTATGTCGAGTCGTGCCAAACCGTCACTCGTGCTCACTCGTGCTCGGCGCGTTCGATCCTCACCGGTGGATCGCTGGTTCGATCCTCAACGGTGGAAGGAACCCGGATCATTTTGGAACCCAGAAACGGATCATTTTGGAACACGGATCATTTGGAACACAGAGGAAAAGAAAACTCTCCGGGACTGCAGTCTGACACCAGTTTCGCGGATCATTTTGGAACATCCTTCGGTAGTGCTTCGAAGGCATCATTTGCTAGTGAAAATGAGCGTTTCGTACTTCCTCCAAAAGTGAGCCGTGCAAGTCTCCAGAACGAGCGTTTCGTACGAGACTTCCTCCAAAAGTGAGCCGCGCAAGTCTCCAGAACGAGCGTTTCGTACGAGACTTCCTCCAAAAGTGAGCCGTTGGGATTCTTTTGGTTTGCCTTAGGGCCTTGCTTCTTTAGGATGTCTTTGGGTTGGACTTAGGCCTGCACTTGTGAGGGACTTAGGGCTTCACTTCTTTAGGGTCTCTGGTTGGTTTGGCTTAGGGCTTTGCTGCTTGAGGATGTCTTTGGGTTGGACTTAGGCCTTCACTTGTGAGGGACTTAGGGCTTCACTTCTTTAGGGTCTCTGGTTGGTTTGGCTTAGGGCTTTGCTGCTTTAGGATGTCTTTGCGTTTGACTCAGGGCTTCACTTCTTTACGGTCTTTTTTCGTTTTGCTTAGGGTTTCACACCTTTAGGGTTTCTTGTGGTTGGGCTTAGGGCTTTGCGTCTTTAGGACTTTAGGATGTCTTTGGGTCAGACTTAGGCCTTCACTTCTTTAGGTCTCTTTTGGTTTTGCTTCGGGTTTCGCTCCTTTACGGTTTCTTTGGTCTTGGCTTAGGGCTTCACTTCTTTAGGGTCTCTTTTGGTTTGCCTTATGGCTTCACTTCTTTAGGACGTCTTTGGGGTTGACTCACGGCTTCACTTCTTTAGGGTCTGGTTTGGTTTTGCTTAGGGCTTCGCCTCTTTAGGGTTTCTCTTGGTTTGGCTTAGGGGCCTTGCTTCTTTTAGGATGTCTTTGGGTTGGACTTAGGCCTTCACCACTCCACAAAAACACTTCCCAGAAACCACTCCCCAGAAACCACTTCCCACAAAACAGTCCCCAGAAACCAGTCACCAGAAACCACTTCCCAGACACCACTTCCCAGAAACCACTCCCCGGAAACCACTTCCCAGAAACCACTCCCAGAAACCGCTTCACAGAAACCACTCCCCAGAAACCACTTCCCAGAAACCACTCTCCAGAAACCACTTCCCAGAAAGCACTTCCCAGAAACCTGTTCCCAGAAACCGGTCGCCAGAAACCACTTCTCAGAAACCACTCCCCAGAAACCAGTCCCCAGAAACCACTTCCCAGAAACCGGTCCCCAGAAACCACTTCCCAGAAACCAGTCACCACTTCCCAGAAACCACTCCCCATGCAGAAACCAGTCCCCAGAACCACTTCCCAGAAACCACCCCCCAAAGACCATTTGATGCGCGGTCCGAATCCCTGTTCCGAAACGAGCTGAATTCGCGTTCCAACACGAGGTGGAGGCCGCAGGAAGAGAGGGGAAAAAACAAAGAGCACATAAGTTTAAGGGCTTCAGGCTTTTTTGCCCTTTCTTTTCCTTTTCTTTTGTGTTTAAATGTTCCTTCTGTCTTTTTTGTTTGGGGCAAAATCACCACTATGGGAGGGCTTTGAAAACAACAGCTTCAGTAGTCTAGTGGAAAACCAACTCTTTAAAATCTGTAATTTTGTTGAACGATAGAGTAGTTGAAACAACGCTTGTGGAAAAGTCTTGTGGGACAATCTTGTGGTACACTCTCAGGTCTCCTCCAGAAAGGAGGAAATCCTCAGTGGGCAGGCAGTCTGTCTGTCTGTCTGTCTGTCTGTCTCTGTCTGTCTGTCTTTCTGTCTGTTTGTCTGTCTGTCTTTCTGTCTGTCTGTCGCCTTGCAACCGCAAGCAGCTTGGAGCCATGGGAACGAAGCTCTTGTGGGAGCGCAGCAACATTGGACAGAGCGTTGTTAGCAATTTCCACCTGAGCCGATGTTTTTGCGCGCGTTATAGTAGTGGGTGCGAAAGAAGTTTCGCAGGTCAAAAATCACACATGCCTGACGCAACGCTTTTCTCAAAGGGTCAGCGCCCACAGCTTGGAGGCCGGCCGACGCTGGAACCCTTGCCAGCGCCAATACTCCCTGGACGCTGGACAGGGCACAGGTAGAGCTTTGCTACCTGTTGCTGCCGCGCCCGGTCCTGGCGAGCACGAACAAGTGGGATGCGCGTGGAATGATGGTTGAACAGAGTGGTTTGTGATGGTCAATGGTTCAAAACACCGACGGTGGGTTAACAACAATTCTCAACAACTGTTGGCTCACCATCATGGCTAGTGGTTGAGAAAACCAATCGCAATCAAGATGGCAAATTTCAACAAACCACCAATGAGGCTTGTAATTTGCAATAATGCTATGGATGGTAGACAAACCAGATGAAACAAGCAAAACGCACTGAAAACACTGTTACGGATGATACTTGGTTAAGTTAAGCCTGCTGGGATATTGGGAATGACATCACCTGCCTCGGCAGGCAAAGGTTACCATCAACTTTGCTGCTGTTGTTGTTGTTGTTGTTGTTGCCGTTGGTGTTGTTGTCGTTGCTTGTAGTTGTTGGTGTTGCGCACTCACGCTCCATACAAGCGGCGTACCATACCGTCGGCAGTTTGGTCCTTAATTGCAACAGTTTCGTACCATACCGTCGGCCTTAGCGTTGCAACACATCCATGTGTGATGAGTGCCTGCAAGTAGTCCTCAGTGAGCGTGCAGATTGATCACCTTCGGCACGCAGGGGCTGCCCTCATAGGGTCTCTTTTGGTTTTGCTTCGGGCTTCGCTCCTTTAGGGTTTCTCTTGGTTTGGCTTAGGGCCTTCCTTCTTTAGGGTGTTTTTGGGTTGGGCTAAGGCCTTCTCCCACAAACCAGTCGCCAGAAACCAGTCCCCAGAAACCACTTCCCAGAAACCAGACCCAGAAACCACTTCCCAGAAACCGGTCCCCAGAATCCACTTTCCAGAAACCACTCCCCAGAAACCAGTCCCCAGAAACCACTTCCCAGAAACCAATTCCCAGAAACCACTTCCCAGAAACCACTTCCCAGAAACCACTCCCCACTTCCCAGAAACCAGTCCCAGAAACCACTTCCCAGAAACCGGTCCCCAGAAACCACTTCCCAGAAACCACTTCCCAGAAACCACTTCCCAGAAACCAGTTCCCAGAAACCACTTCCCACAAACCACTCCCCAGAAACCACTTCCCAGAAACCGGTCCCCAGAAAACCACTTCCCAGAAACCACTTCCCAGAAACCACTCCCCAGAAACCAGTCCCCAGAAACCAGTCCCCAGAAACCACTTCCCAGAAACCACCCCCCAAACACGATTTGACCCGCGTTCCGAAACGATCCGAAGCTGAATTCGCGTTCCAAAACGAGGCGGAGGCCCCGGTGGAACCCTCGGAAGCCAGAAGATTTGGTTGACCAAGCTGAAGATTTGGTTGATGTGTCATGACAAGACCTGTTGAAAAGGGGAACCGCTTCGGCGCGCCATGAGCTTGCGAGTTGCGCCGCCATGAGTAAAACTCTCGTTTGAACGAAAGCAGGGCGACCTCATAGACCTTCTTGAACAAAGCAAGATAAAACAAAACCAGCAATCGCATGCACAGTCACACTTGAGGGCCGGATCGGTTCAGCACTGGCGGCTTCCTGTACTCTGGGAGTTTTGATTGCGACCTCGATTGACCTGTCAAAACCACTGCGCGATTGTATCAGAAATGATTTTACCTCGAGCGTCTGAGCAGTCCAATCTTCACAAGTCTTCACAAAAGCACAAGAGTGTGTGCGTGTGTGTCTAAAGTCCTCTCAATGACTCCACTATAGAAAAAGGATGTAAATGTTGGATCTATATAATCATTGTCATTGAATATAGAAATACGCTGGGGGCGGTTGCTACTATCTCAGGGTTGCACGCAGAACGCAGGCGCAAAGGTAGAAATGTAAAATTTAGACAGATGTCATTGAGTCTAAATCAGGGAACCTTTCAACCTTTACATTGGCACAATCCTGTCAAGGAAAGCATGACAAATCCAACTCTCCCACTCCAAGCACGCCGCGACACGGGCCATGTTGAAAAACAACATCATGACCATTTGACCCCTTGATATTTAACTAGCTTTTGACGTTGAACTTTGTTTGCGCTATCTTTTGCTGGTCAAAGCGGGCCGCAATTTTCATGCTCAAAGACGGGGTTTTAGGCTTAAGCGGGCCACGTTTACGCAATTTCGGTGCTCAAAGACGCAGGTTTACAGAGACTCGACATTGTGCTTAAGCGGGCCATCCTTACGCAATTTCGATGCTCAAAAACGCGGCTTTGTGCTTAAACGGGCCATGTTTACGCAATTTCGATGCTCAAAGACGCGGGGCTTAAGCGGGCCATGCTTACACAATTTCTATGCTCAAAGACGCGGGTTTGGTCCTTAAGCGGGCCATGTTTTCACCAAATCAAAGTTGAGGGTTGAGATGGGCACCCTTCCAGGGCACTCTGGCTAGTCAATTTTTATGCATGTTTAAAATTGCTTTGATCATAGTGAACCATGTTTAAGCATAAAATTGTCACAAAGAAGATTTAAACTGATTAGGAATTACTCAAATTAGAGTAAAAATAATTCAAAAGTGATTAGACATGATTTTGAACAAAATTCACCAACGGGTAAAAGTATGAGTGAACCAAAAGTGTTTTCACGGGTACATCCACGAGTGAAGTTGCAGTGAACTTGCAGACAAAATGAAAGTTCAACAAAGCGTTTTACGATAAGTTGACGAGGCGAGCAACAAATCAACTTACAAAACACAATGAAATATGTACTAAGTACAAATGGTTCCTTTACGATAATCACTTGTTACAATCCCTGACAGCACAGTGCTCCTGGCCTCGTTGAAAGCTTCTGAAAGTAGTAAGTTTTGGCTGAAGAGCTCTGCGCTGGCAGGGATTGTGACAAAGTAAGGTTTTTGAAACTAGTCAAGTTTTGGCTGAAGGCATTGAGTATTCTTTTTGGAAGTAGTCAAGTTTTGGCTGCGCTGGCAGGGATCGTAAGAATATTGAATAGTAAACAATATTTTTTGCTGAGCACTGTGCTGGCAGGGATTGATACTGTAACATTTTGAATCCAGTCAAGACGCGGGTTTGGTCCTTATAAGCGGGCCATGTTTACGCAATTTCGATGCTAAAAGACGCGGGTTTGCGCTTAAGCGGGCCATGTTTATGCAATTTTGATGCTCAAAGACGCGGGTTTAGTTCTTAAGCGGGCCATGCTTACGCAATTTCGATGCTCAAAGACGCGGGTTTGGTCCTTGAGCGGGCCATGTTTACAAAGACTCGACATTGTGCTTAAGCGGGCCATCCTTACGCAATTTCGATGCTCAAAGACGCGGCTTTGTGCTTAAACGGGCCATGTTTACGCAATTTCGATGCTCAAAGACGCGGGTTTGGTCCTTAAGCGGGCCATGTTTTCACCAAATCAAAGTTGAGGGTTGAGATGGGCACCCTTCCAGGGCACTCTGGCTAGTCATTTTTATGCATTTTTAAAATTGCTTTGATCATAGTGAACCATGTTTAAGCATAAAGTTGTCACAAATAAGACTTAAACTGATTTGGAATTGCTCAAATTGGAGTAAAAATAATTCAAAAGTGATTAGACATGATTTTGAACAAAATTCACCAACGGGTAAAAGTATGAGTGAACCAAAAGTGTTTTCACGGGTACATCCACGAGTGAAGCCACGAGTGAAGTTGCAGTGAACTTGCAGACAAAATGAAAGTTCAACAAAGCGTTTTACGATAAGTTGACGAGTCGAGCAACAAATCAACTTACAAAACACAATGAAATATGTACTAAGTACAAATGGTTCCTTTACGATAATCACTTGTTACAATCCCTGACAGCACAGTGCTCCTGGCCTCGTTGAAAGCTTCTGAAAGTAGTAAGTTTTGGCTGAAGAGCTCTGCGCTGGCAGGGATTGTGACAAAGTAAGGTTTTTGAAACTAGTCAAGTTTTGGCTGAAGGCATTGAGTATTCTTTTTGAAAGTCGTCAAGTTTGGGCTGCGCTGGCAGGGATCGTAAGAATATTGAATAGTAAATAATATTTTTTGCTGGGCACTGTGCTGGCAGGGATTGTTACTGTAACATTTTGGAATCCAGTCAAGACGCGGGTTTGGTCCTTATAAGCGGGCCATGTTTATGCAATTTCGATGCTAAAAGACGTGGGTTTGCGCTTAAGCGGGCCATGTTTACGCAAGTTTGATGCTCAAAGACGCGGGTTGGTTTAGTTCTTAAGCGGGCCATGTTTACGCAATTTCGATGCTCAAAGACGCGGCTTAAACGGGTCCGGGTTAAGAAGGCAGAAGGGGGGTCGGTGGAGCGCTTGTAGGCCAGCCCCGAATGAGGAAAGTTATTATGTGGACTTGGCTCCGGCCCTGCTGCGCAGACCCCCCGGGGGTCAGGTGCTCTACGCGTGGCCTGCTTAGGGCTGCGCTATTTGCATCGAAAAGGGCAAGGGTCTGGGCCTTGGCCAGGTTTGGTCCTTAAGCGGGCCATGTTTACGCAATTTCGATGCTAAAAGACACGGGTTTGGGCTTAAGCGGGCCATGTTTACGCAATTTCGATGCTCAAAGACGCGGGTTTGGGCTTAAGCGGGCCATGTTATGCTCAAAGACGCGGGTTTGGGCTTAAGCGGGCCATGTCTACGCAATTTCGATGCTCAAAGACACGGGTTTGGTCCTTAAGCGGGCCATGTTTACGCCAGTTTACGCAATTTCGATGCTAAAAGACGCGGGTTTGGTCCTTAAGCGGGCCATGTTTCCGCAATTTCGATGCTAAAAGATGCAGGTTTGGGCTTAAGCGGGCGCAATTTCGATGCTCAAAGATGCTGTTTTTGCCCAAAAACGGAAAGCTTACACGGGCCCGGGTTAAGAAGGCAGAGGAGGGGGGGCCGGTGGAGCGCTTGAAGGCCAGCCTTGAGGCGCTCTATGCGTGGCCTGCTTTGGGTTGCGCTATTTGCATCGAATAAGGAAAGGCCATGCTTACGCTATTTTCGTGTCCAAACGCTCTGCGGACGCGCTGCGGACGCGCTCGTGCATTCACCAATGCGATCAAATCATGTTTGCTTTGTATGCACAAACTGTAGATATACTGGCTGTGAGTCCTTGAATGCTGCGGATGCGCTGCGGACGCGCTGCGGACGCGCTCGTGCATTCACCAATGCCATCAAACTATGACTGCTTTGCAAAAGCGGACTGTAAACATACTGGCTGTGTCCTTCAATAAATACAGTCTTGTTGAGCCCAGCGCGCTGCGAACGCGCTGCAGGCGCGCTGCGGACGCGCTGGCCATCACCTAGATTTAGTTTCTCGAAAATAGCAGCCCGTGAGGAGGTATGGCGCTAGCAGTGAAATAGTTGGCTATACAATTAATGGGCATCACGGCATCAACGAAACTTTTCTACCTTTGTGGAGGATATGTCTGGCTGTAGGTTGTGTTACATGTATACAAAAGCGCGTTTTTCTACCTTTGTGCCCTTTACATGCCTATGTCATTGTGTGCAACCCTGTATCTTGACAACCACTCATGAAAACGTTCAAGGAGAAAAAGGTGGGGCTCGTGTCAAGACAATGGAACCTCCAACCCCAATGGCTCTTCATTTAGAATCTACAAGTCAATGACCTGAATGTACTCCCAAATCAAGGAGGGATACAGCAAAAATACCCTCTATATATATATAGAGAGAGAGAGAGGGATATGTTATTGTTCAGGAGAGTACATGTTCAAGCTGAGGAGCACTTTTACAAGCTGGGAACTCCCGAGGTCGCCCACGTACGACCCCGCCGACGCCCTGCTCCACGTGGTCCGCCTCCCCAAAACAGAGCGCCGAGCGGCCAATTGGGGAAGAGCGGCGACACGCGCAGGAAGAGCATGTAGCGGAACCTCCGGAGCTCGCGAGCTCCGCGGCGAGCTCCGCGGAGCTCCGTCGGTCCATCGGACCGGGAGACCGACTCCAGCTACACCACCGGAGCGGTTCCGGTCCTCCGGTCAGCTCAGGTTGTTTGGAACGGGCGGGGCCAACTCCTTGGCACAGGTCCTTCCGTTGCTTGCTGTTTCCAACCCTCCGTCCAATTGCTCCGGACACTGGAAGGATTGCGACCGTCTCGGTCTATGCCCTAGGGCTCCAACCATATCCTCAGGTTCGGTGGTTAGACCCCCATGGCACCCACCCCAACCATCTTCGAAACGGAGGTAGGCCAGGAGCCCTAGGGATATACCAGCCACCTCCCCCACACCCTCCCACCATTCCGAGGCCGAGGCCACGGCCAGTGTCCCCACTTGTGAGGGGCCCACCTGGTTCCACCCGGTCCTCCGTTGCCACATAGCTCAGGTGCCTCAAAACATTGCCGTGGCAATGGTATATATCGTTGGTGTAACCAGTGATGTTCTTAGAACTGTTGAAGAAAAGGAGAAAACGACACTTGGAGTTCTCCCCTGCGAATCGAATGGCTGCCCCCCTGATCGGAGGCCTGCTGCATGCCGGCAGCACGCCGGCGGTGTCACCCGGTTTCCAGGTGGCACTTCGAAGTCGTACACATCAGGTTCATTCAGGTTCCACGTCCCATCCACTTCTAGGTTCCCCCACATCGAATCCTTGAACTTCTCCATCTCCTCGCGTTTTTTGTGCAAAGAAAACCATGACTTTTGAGCACAATTCGACCCTGGGCATCGAGCACGGCGGTTTCCTTCCGCGGATTCCGAGGTTGACGGGTCGCGAACACCGCAGCTGTTCAGAAGCAGCTGTTCGCCGCGCGGTAATGGGGGAGAAGCTCCGATCCCGCGGGTCGAAGGGGTCGAAGGCTGTTGGTCCATCGGACCCAGCTGTTGTCCGCCACTTCAACCACCAAACCCATCGACCGTCGACTCAGACGTCTTAGCCACAAGGATGCCACGGCAGATGGTCCAAAAAGACCTCCACTTGACTCGACGAGAAGATCGACGTCGGCAGCCACATCGGTCCGCCGAGTCACGTCGGGTGTCCCAGAACCCACACAGAAAACCTGCCGAACCCCGAAACGACGACGGGTTGCGACCGGCCGAAGTCACAAATAGCTATTAAAAAAAACCATATGATGACTTTGACACACCATATATATATATATGATACATGTAGTATATGCATCTGTATTGTGTCTATCTATCCTTATTACCATCCGTCTATTCCCTGAAACGGTGGATGATGGTTAATCAAGGCCTTTCTCAAAAATAGTGATAGTTGTCTGCAAGTGACACCCCCAATTGTGATCACATCCCAGTTGGACTGTGCTGGTCTAGCAATCTTGACCCGTGGGCGGAATGCTAAACATACGACTCGCCAGATAAGTTGTGACCATGTGTTTGTGAGCGTCCATTCCCCCCGTTCACACAGACTCCATATCCCCCATGATCATCATCTCTGCTGTGCCCTTCCAAAAAAAGAGCGAAGCAAAGAACTCTTCCCGCCTTCTGCAACGTGGCCATCTTCTCCGCAGCAAACTGGCGGAGCAAGCCACGAAAAGCTCGGGAGAGAGTTGAGGCAGGCCGCCCAGCACAAGAACCATCGAAGAACACACATCACTCAGGAGGCTCCTAGCTTTTTCCACATGTCTGAGAGACTTTTCTGGCTTGAGTATGCGAAAACATGTAGATAGGACAAACCTGCCGAAAACGACCCATGAAACCAATGAAGAAGAGGAAAACCAAGCGTCTTCAGCCACAGACTCAGCGGATCATGCCGTTGGCAACCGCAAGAAGACTTGGAAGATTTTGAGAATAAGCATCTCAATGGCGGGTTTTTGCGAACAATAGCAAAGGGATGGCAATCCACCCAAGCAAGACCGAAATGTCTGACTTGGGCAGCAGGTTTTTTCATGAATGACATCCCCAAAACATCAAAGTCCAAGATGGTTGGTTTGGGGACCCTTTAAAGGATCTTCAAGTTGAGGTGGTGCATCGATCACCTGGCAATACATATAGAGATCGCATGGATAAGGAGCAGTCCCCTGCCGCGCATGCTCGCAACTCACCCGTGCGCTGTCCCGCGCAGGGCGCACGTGTAGCAAGATCTCCCGGCCAATGCAGTAGGACATGATCCATCCACCAGCTCCACCACACACCTCCGACGAAGGCATCCGAAAAAGGTGGCCCGGTTTAAGCGGTTGAAGGGGTCCGAATGTGAGGTGAATGGCGGCTTCCTTCTGGCGCGGTCTTTCTCTTGAAAGTGACGAACAAAACATTGGTTCATCGCTCTTCCAACCATGGAAGGCCGGGTTCAGCGCTTTTGGGAGTGTTGATTGGGAGTTCTCAAAATGTGGAGGCCCACCCCACATGCACCTTCAGAAAAAAGGAAGCGGGGCACTTAATTACAGTATATAAGTGGGCACTCAACTAGTGCAACCTCCAAACAAGAGGACCAACCCGACCCTCTGCTCCCCAATCTTGTTGAAAGACCTCACCACTAAGCCCGAGGGCGCCGAGCGCGCGGGCGGCCTCACCGCTGACACCCAAGAAGTGCGCCAGGAGGGAATAGTGCCTGAGCTATTTCCAGACATGGTCCAGCTGGCTTTGCTTTGAGGTCGCTTTGAGGTCGCTGGGCGATTTGATCTTTCCATCCAAGTGGAACGGAACTCAGGGTGAGGGAAGTTCGTTCCTCTTCCTTCTCAGTGGTTGGCTCGGCATCGCTAGCAACAAGAGCAACGAGAAGCTACTAGTAGCGATGCACTTGTTACTAGTAGCAAGCTTCTGACACACCTGCCAACAATTGGTCTTATCTTCCAAACAACGAGATCGCCCAAAGAGAAGATGCCCTCTCTCTCCCGATCTGCTGGGAGATGACCACATCAACGGCACATGTCAGATCTCCCAAAGGCTGTTGAGCCTTTGAAGCCAACAAACTCGCATCGTTGGCACATTGACGCTCGTATATCGTGATTCCTGGGGGGTTGCAAACCTGCTCACCTGCTAACCTGAGTCGACTTGGAAAAGGAAAACATTGGTGCAAGCCGTCCTATTCCAAGGACAAACAAGGTCCACCTAGGACCACCCGCGCGGAAAGGCGCACCTGTTTTCGGCTGCGCGGCTCGAGCCCCCGCCACTGCGGTTCGGGGAACATGGACAAAAAGAGACATGAAGTCCCCATCCTCACATCACCCCAACTTTCCTGGCTCTTTTTGAACCTTTAGTTGAGGTGGCTGTCATCGGCCTTTTCAAGGCCATCATCCCATGGCCAGTTGTTTCTGGCTGCCAGGGATTTCAGGCTTGCCACATAGGCTTCCTGCATTTCTCGAAGCTTCTGCTCCATGGCCCTTTTGTGCACCTTCTTGCCTGCTTCGAACTTTTCGTCGTGCACCAACCTCCAGTATTGCTTCTGGCTGAAAAACTGGAGCAGGGTCTTTCTTGCTCCGTACTTGGTCAGTGAGTCACCAAGTTGAGCTAGACCGTTCACCCATCGCAGCTCCGTGGCTGCTCTCAGCGCCTGATTCACTGCAAGCGTCAGCTCATAGCCTGCCCGGCTATCTCTTAGGCCGTGGAGGCTGCTGATGTTGCGGGTCATGGCATCGTAAATGCCTCTGCTGTCCATCACCAAAGCTCCCGCCACCAGCTTCGCGGTCTCGTGGACCAGGTGCCTCTTCACCTCGTGGCCTCCGAACTCGGCCACCATCATTCGGACCTGGAAGTTCTGGTCCTCGCCGATGGTGATCGCTTGGACTTCCGCTCCATTGGAGCCAAGGCATTGCCGCGGCGTTTTGCCGCTCTTCCATTGCACCACCGCGATCTGCACCTCTTCGCCTGCCAGGGCTGCCTTCACCGTGACACCGGTGATGATGCCAACCGTGCTGCTCTTGTCAGGGCGATTGTGTTGGCTGGCATCGGCCCAGGTGATGACCGCGAGGTCGGTCACCTCCTTCATGTTCCAGCTTGAAGGGAACAGCAACCCTTGGCCAGCCTCTCTCCTCATCTCTCTCACCAGCTTGTTGACCTTGTAAAGGGTCTCTATGGTGCCCTTGTTGACTTCGCTCAGGAGGAGCGAAGCTTCTGCCAGGAATTGCGGCGCAGATTGCGTCGCTCGCCAGGACACGGTGCCCAGTGCTGCCCGCATGGCAGAGACCTCCGCTGCATTCAAGGGTGTCTTTCTCGCCTTTGTCTTGTCAATCTCAATCTCTTCAATCCAGCGGTTGGTGTAGACCTCCTGGTTCAGGATGATGGAGTAGTCCTTGTTCTGGATGATGGTACATCCAGCGAACTCAAAGTTCTCCTCGTTCCATCGTCCCCATCGGAATGCCTCATTGAGAAGGCGTTCCCGTGACAGAAAGTGTTCAGAAGTCTCCAGTCCGCAGAGCAGGAAATCATCAACGTGCAAACCTGCAAGACCAACCAGTTGCGGGTTTTGGTTTCCGTTCATGGACTCCGGCTCATAGAGTGCGAAGCAACACTTGTCGCTCAGTAGCTGTCGCCATCCGGCCTCCACCATGGTCTTCACGCAGCGCTCCCACCATTTTCTTGGAGCGTGTGCCAGGCCGTAGAAAGCTTCTCGCACCCTCAGGGCTTTCTGTTGCCCACCTGTTGCGCCAAACATGGCACTCAGCTCTGGCGGCGCCAGCACATTCAGCTCCTCATCCTCCAGACTAATGCCTGTTTGCAGAAAGGCGCTCGTCACGTCGCCGGCCTTGACCTTGAACTTCAGCCCGGCGGCCAACGTGAGGATCAGGTTGCGGCCAACCTTGAACATAGTTGGCGAAGCCGTGGCCACTTCTGTCAAATTGTGTGCCATGAATCCTAGCGCCACCAGACGGGCCTTTGCGGTTCCGTCTCCTTTGCGCGTCAGCACCCAGCGCATCTTCATCAGCTGCTCTGGGGTCACCTTCATCTCCTCTTGGATGGTGAGGTTCCACAACGCTTTGCTGATGGCCACCTGAGAGAGTTCCTTTGCCATTGCCAGGTCATACTCCTTTTTCTCATGCATCGGAAGCCGATGCCATTCAACTTCTTTTCCCTTTTCTGACATCTTCTTGCTCAGCCACACGACTCCTCTCTTGCGGCCCTTGTTCTTGCTCAGCCATTCGAAGTCATTGGCGTCCACCTCAAAGGAGCATGCAAGGAACGTCTCTTCCTGAGCTTTCTTCTTGGGCTTCTCCTTCAGCTTTCCGGCAGGCTTGGAGTCGTTATCGACGACCATCAACTCTTCACTTCCAGAAGACAGATCTTCCGGCTCAGAGATCGAAGATGTAGAAGATGACGAGGATTCCTCAGGAATCGGGACTTCAGCTCCTGTCGGCGCCCGTCTTCCTTCATAGAGGTCGTAGAGGAAAGTTTGTCCTTCCCGGTCTTGATGATGTCCACCATGGCCTCCGGGAAGATCGCATTCGGGTACCGGACATCGATTAGCACCTGATACTCCTCGAAGAGGTAGGTTGTCCACCACATCAGGTCCTCGATCTTGAAGAGCTGCCTTCAATCCCGATGACGATGAGGTTGCTCCTTCCGGCATCTCCATTTCGTCCTCCACGGTCTTGTCATTCTTCCTCTCCTTCGTTGGGTCTTCGTCGGCCTTTCGTTTCTCTCCCTTGGACCTCTTCACTCGCTGCCGCTTCACAGATGCCTCAGGGATCAGCTCAAACCAAGTCTCACCCTTCCATCTGTCCTGGAGGTTCCGGCTCTCTTCAACGGTGTCGTGGATGGTCACCTCATCACCTCCATGAGCCGGACGGACAATAGTCTTCCTGAGACCAGTCAACTCCTCCAACTTCACGGGGCAGTTCGTTGCTCGTCCAGGGTTGAAAAGTGCCAACCTAGGAAGTTCGTGAAGTCGGACCAAGAAGCGTTTGCCGTCTTCCCACTTCACCGCCCAAGAGTCGCTCCCATGTTGTCCCCGTGGCTCAACCAATGGAGTAGAAGCTGAGAGATCTCCTCGTTGTAGCTCTTCGCTTGGGACATCGCTAGACACATCCATGTAGTATCGGCCTTGGAAGCTTCTCATGAGGGCCTCGAGCGTCACTGGGTTCTTGTAGATGGCCGCTCCTTCCAGCTTAGCATCCAACTCTTCACGCTTCGACGTCGGGCGGATCTGGTTCACCTTCGCCCGGATGAGAGTGGCTCCTGAAATCAGCCAGGCTGTCGATCCTTCCATGAGAACGAGGCGTAGGGGTCCCGTCCAGTTGCCCTTCACCTTGCCAGGGCGGACTCGCTGTCGCCACACCATCACCAGTTGACCAGCTTGGTACTGGCTCGCCTTTCTCCCAATAGCATTTGCCAGCTTGCTGAACCTCTCTCGAGCTCGTTCTCGCTCAAAAGCTATCTTGGCTTTCTCTCTCTCCTTCACCAATTTGTCGAAAGCGCGGCTCGGATCAATGCCTTGGAGCAATTGTTGTTCGTCAAGTACTCCTCCTCCAGCTCCAAACACCCATTGGTAAGCACTGAATCCGCTTGGCCCGATGTGGCTGTTCATGGCCGCTGCTGCCATCTGGTACAGCTCAGGGATGTCCAAAGAGCTCCCTTCTTTGATCAGTCTTTCAACTGTCCTCTTAGCCAGGCCAATTGCGCTTTCCTCGAAACCCATAAGCCAGTGTGCTTCTGCTGGTGCGATGGTCAGCCCCACACCAGACCTGTTAAGGAAGTTCATAAACTCCTGGCTGGTGTAGTACCTAGCACTGTCGGCCACCGTCCATTTCGGAGAGGGGTACGTCATCAGCCATCTCGTCATTGACTTAATCACATCAGCTGTTGTTGGCTCCCAGTTGCCAGTCTCGTACCGCTTGAGGTGGTCGATCATTGTCAGGCCAGATCCTCGATCCCTCCAGATGATCAGCTTGTGCTTCACACCCGTCGGTTCCTCATGCTCGAAGACGTCGGTTCCGAGGTGCTCGTAGATTGGAGGTGTTTCTCCCAAGCTCGCTGGAGGACGTGGTTTCGGCTTGGAAGCCTCTTTGCATTCTGGGCATTCCAGATTAGCTGCCAACTCGAGGGCCCATCCAGGTGATCCCCTGGCTTTCAGCAGCTGCACCAAGTTGGACATGCCAGGGTGTCCACTCGCTCGATGGACTCGCAGCATCATCTGCTTGATCGCCTCCAGTCGCTTCCCAGTTGGGGCTGTCTCCAGGTCCAGTCTCTTCCTGCTCAAGGCCATCACTTGCGGTTCCAGCTCGAAGCCATGATGTCCGCCTTGTGGTTCTCCAGGAAGTAGATTGGATGTAGTCTCTTCGTCCGTGCCCTCGGGAACCTCAAGGAGATAGGTCTCGACCATCTTCGTCAGATCATCTCGTTCTTGTCTCCATCGATGCTCCATTCCCTTGACCACGTCCCGGCATAGCGAGACCGGGTAGTAGCTTGATGCCTCTGCCGCTTGCCCTCGACATTCTGCATGTTCATGGGAGCGGTCGCATCTCTTGTTCAGGGTCAGCCACAACTCTCGGCTCGTGGTCAGGATGGTCCAGGCCTTTCGCAAAGGAATGCCTTTCCACTCTAGCCCGTAGGCGCATCCATCCACTCGGATCCAGTATACACTTCTCCCATGCCGTTGAATGGCGTGGATCAGTCGCTTGATTGCTCTGGACTTCCAACCAGGGGTTGCGGATGTCGGCCATTCCCAAGCGATGTCGTTGCCAGACGAGATGATTGGCTCTAGACCACGGGCAATCTCATCACATCTCGACAGGTCCCGTCCTCGACGCTTGAGGAAAGCATCCCATTGCTCCGGTGTCCGCTCTGTCAGGTTCTGAAGACTGGACAGGCGAGTGCATCTAAATGATACCCAAGCCAGGCGCGGCACCACCTCTTTGATCCTGTCGGCCAGTCGGGATGTCCCCTTGCGGGTGTCCAGGTCATAGCCAGTCTTGAAGTTGATGCGCTCTCCATAGTATCCCTTTTGCTGAAAGGATGCCGTCAGTGTCGACTCGGGAGAGCAGGCTATCTCCATCACATCAACTTGTGGGCTGACGTTGTTGATCATCTCTCGCACCGGCTCCATCAAGGTCACCGTCATCGCAGCTGCCAGTGCTAGCCTCTTCGCCAGAGAGGGCCTCACCACCTTCTCTGTCAGATGGTTTGTGGCAGCAATCTCCTTCACAATCTCCTGGTGACGTGCCGTTGATGGACACAAACTGCCAGTAGGGCATCTCGTGCAAATAGTCCCCATTGGCTCTCCACCCAGCGTAGGGCTCGTTGTGCTCGTAGTGCCATCCAGTTCCCCACCAAACGTAGGGCTCGTTGTGCTCGTAGTGCCGTGTTGTTGGAGAGAAGGCTCTCCCTCTGCTGTTGTTTGTTGGCGTGTTGGGCTCAAGTGAAAGTTGTCAGGATTGGTGTCCAAATCAGCCTCCAGCCGGGTAGGACATGTCGATCGCATCCTCTGACGCAATCCGCTCAAGGCCTTCCACAGGGCATTCACTCGCCCTTGGAATCCACTTCCTCCTTCTCCTTCTTCACGACCAGCTCTTCTATCTTGGCCTTCGCTTCCTGGAGCTCCTTCTTCATCTGCTCGATCTCCGCCTCGTTGGCGACCACCACCACCGAGGAGGTCCTTGAGCTCACGCTCATCGGACTGCCCGAGCGACGGGTTGGAATGATCCCTTCGCTCTTCACCATCAGGTCGGCTTCCTTCTCCGCCTTGGTCGATGGCTTCGGTGGACTCTGACGGACTGGCGAGATCGCCTTGGGGTACGGCGTCTTCTTTGGGCTCTCCGTGGTCTGAGTGCATGATGTCCCAGCCATCAGGGCTTCCCCCAGGGTCTCGTTCGCCCTGACCTGAACTGTCGTGCGGCCTCGTCCACGTGTCTCCACCAGGGTCCGTCCTCGGATCTCCAGAAGCTTCCCATTGAAAATCTTCTCCGTGATCTCGTGCGCTTGGAAGGCTTCCTGGAGTTCCAGTTGCGCCAGCTCGACATGATCTGGCGGAGGTCCAATGGCCCGGTTGTCCCCGGTGCCAGTGCCCTTGGTGGTGTACCGGAGTCTCAGGCCACAATGATTGCAGGCCTGCCAGGCTGCGAACTTGTTGGTTCGCTGAGGTCCAGGAACGTGGTGTCCCATGCACGGCCACCCGACATGGCGTGGGTCCTGGTCCGTGGAAGGAGGACATGTCTTCATTGTCCGTTGGGCTCGTCCTCTTGAGGTCGTTCAGCCGTCGAGCCAACTTGCTGAGGCGGTCGGACAGAGCATCTGCGTTCGAGTCTTCCTCAACCATGAGTATTCGACCGTCAAAAATCACCGACTGACACTCTCCATGTTGCTCCACCTGACCATGTGCTTCTCCATGCATATGACTTCCATGTTCTTCCACTGCATGTTCTACATGGTCATTCCCGGCCACGTCACTGATGAACGACGACACAGTCTCCAGGGGCCTCTCGGAATCCTCGGGTGCCTCATGGCCCTCTTCTTCTAGATCTATTGGAACACGTCGAACGATCACATCTTCTCCCTTTTCCTCCGGCTCTTTGGGTTCCCCGAGGGGTTCAGAAGGAAGGCCAGGCTCATCATTTCCTGGCACGGAAGGCGTGTAGTTGGAAACTTCGCCTGAATGGAGAAATGCGGCGGCTCTCAGATGTTGTTCTCGACGCTCTTCTGTCATCTCCTCTGGTTCAGGAGGCTCTTCAGGTTGGTCTCGGGCATGTCCCGTGGTTGCCGCAAGCAACCGTCCAGTTGGATCGTGTTGCCTCTTCTCTTCATGTGTCCTTGGTCTCTTCTTCCACGGCGGCGGCTCATCTCCAGGGTCGGAGTCATCACCGGCGTCATCATCCGGTGGCCAGCGGGTAGTTGGATTCGTGTTGAACCTCTTCAGCAGGAACTCGATTGGAAGCTTGTGCTGGCTCAGATCAATCACCAGGTGTCCGCCCGGAGAGGACCACAGCTGGCTCACCCACCATCTTCCATCTCCTCCACGGTGAGCCAAGTAATCTCCATGGTATGAGATCACCGCTCGGCGGGCACGGAGAATCCGCGACCCGATGAGCAGAGGTGTGTCCTCTGCGCCACCATCCAGCAGGTAGAACTCCATTCCTCCCATGGCGTTGGTCGTCACATGGCACTTGGACACCGCTCGTTGGTGTTCCCCATTGCCAAACCGGAAGCGGGGCCGGTTGTCCAGCGTGATGTCGTACAGGAAATGGCCTGAGTCAATCAGCTTCGACATGGACCGAATGCCGGAAACCGATTCTGTGGCTCCGGAATCGATGATCGCCTTGGTCAAGGAAAGCTCTCCAAGGCGCGTGTCCTCGGCCAGGCTCATGACATTGACCTCGTAGTAGCCATACTCCGGGGTATAGTCCACCCAGAAGGCCTTGCCGCCCTTGCGGCTCTTCCCACCTTTTCCTTTGCCCTTGAAGCCCTTCATCGAACCCTTGGGCGAAGAGGTAGGCGACGTTCTCCCGGATGAAGATCCCCGTGACCACCTGTCAGGGCATCGGGCATACCCGTGACCATTCTGTCCACAGATGAAGCATGGTCCGAGGCTCGCAGCACCATTTCCTTTTCCCTTGCCAAAGGGACTCTTGCTCTTCCCTTTTCCTTTTCCTCCAAGGCTGCCAGAAGGTCCGCCCTTCATCCCAACGGGACTGTAGTAGCCCCGGGCAGCTCTCACCTTTGCGACTGCCATCTTCGCTTCAGCAAGGGTCTTGTTGGCCTCCGCCGCAATGGTGTAGGCCTCCTCCAGCCGCTTCTCAGAGCTGAAGTCCTTGGGCTCGAGGTGCTTCACCACGCTCTTCGCGACTCCCGACAGCTTCTGCCAGACCTTCGGGGCTGCCAGCTTCTTCTCTGCATCCTTGAGGCTGTATTCGAACCACTTGCACGAGGCGGCGAATGCCTCAAAGGATGCTGGGTCTCCATCCCAGCATGGGATCTCCTCATGGGGCATGGCGTCCCTTCTCCCCACCAGTCGTCACCGCCGGCTCCTCAAGGAAGATCGTCTCCAGCAGCTCCGACTACCATGCAAGCCGTCCTATTCCAAGGACAAACAAGGTCCACCTAGGACCACCCGCGCGGAAAGGCGCACCTGTTTTCGGCTGCGCGGCTCGAGCCCCCGCCACTGCGGTTCGGGGAACATGGACAAAAAGAGACATGAAGTCCCCATCCTCACAATTGGGAAAACGTGACGAGGTGACCAAGGGAAACTCTGATTTGTCCAATATTGGACCGGTGAGGGCCGTCCTTCGAAGGGTGAGGGGTCCGCTCCAAACAACATGGGACGCCCGGATCGTGAATGCTTGAGATGCCTTTTTACCATGCTGCAGATCATGTGCAGCATTCCCTAACTCCACAAACCAAAACTTGTTTCGTTTCACTGTCACTTGTAGGACTTTGGATTGAAAGGGATCCCAGATTCGGCTCCCTAACACCGGACAAGAGAAGGTCCGGCACCCGGAAGAAGAGGCATCTACCTTTGTCACAGGTGCACAGAGAAGAGGCACAGTAGCCAAGAGAATATGTTGTGGAGGTCATCTACCTTTGGCTACAAGGACCTGAGACTCCCGGTGGTCCGGGAGTTACACAGGTCGTGGTCCGGTGACTCTCGGCCTGGGTTGGTCCCCACCTCCTTCTCTCACCATGAGTGTAGACTGTAGACCCTGTTGATGAATATAACATATATATATATATATATGTATACAGAATACTGCATATGAACCCCTGCCGTCTCCACAATGCTTAGATCCCCCCTGCATCACCCCTGTGGGGTCCCTCCCGTCTATTTCGAGGTGCGTGTTGGGCTCTGCTACGGCCACATGGCATGATCCGTTGGCCGAGCAGCGTGTTGGGCTCGGCCCACTCGTCGTACAAGGCGCCGATGAGCACCTGGTGAGTTTCTCACGGAGCCGCGGAAGGAGAAGCGCCATGCTGGGTGAACGGCTCCAAAAACTATGGAAACGGCAAGCCGTCACTCGCTGTTGAACAAAAATAGACACGGAACAGCATGGAACAAACTCTGCAGCACCTCCAAGAAGAGTGCCTTCTTCTTTTTCAGCGTTTTTCCCCCCACATCCACCATCTCCAGTCCCCTCCTCCACCCAAACCAACCCCTCCCGCTGCCGGTCCGGTCGGTCCCTTCCGACCGCGGTCCGTCTGGTCCGTTCCAAGCGTCGCCGGCGAGGCGGACAGGACCATCGACGTCCCGGCCCCAAAGGGGCCAAAGATCTTGAAGATCACCTCGGGACGTGAAGAGGGTGGAAGGTGGAAGGAGCGGAGGACGAGGGCCCAGCGCGTGAGACGGTTAGAGACGAAAGGGACGCTGTTCTTTGAAGAATGTGGGGCGGATGGGGTGAGAGGAGAGGGAAAAAGAACTGGAAAGCATGGAACAGAGAGTGTGCTTGCTTAGTCATGGGGAAATACTAAGACCTTCATGGCTCAACCATCTGGGGATACCTGGGGCCTGGAGAGCTCTTTAGGACACATTTTGGGCAACCCATCAGCACCCCTTGCGTTGTGTGAGTGGAACACATGTTTGGTGACCGGACAGTCCTTCAATCCAATCGACTTCCCATCTGCAAAGGGCATTCCCCTGGGCCTCCCCAAGCAGTGCATTGGGTAATTCTCAATGCCAAAAAAAAACAAAAAAATGACCTGAGAGAATTGGACCGGCGGCGGCAGCAGCAGCAGCAGTGGTAGTGCTTCACCCCACTTTCGCATCGTCTTCCCCCTTTTGCTTCCAAGCCAAGGCACATAGATGCCCCAAAGCCCGGCAGTGGTGTGCCACCTGGAACATGAGGAAATGAAACATGCCCCATCAACAGAACCTTTGGAGTGTCTTTCTGTCTCCAAAATCCGCCCTCGATCCGCCGGTTCTGGCAGACGTGGAGGGGGATCCAGGCGATGTCAACAGAACACGAGTCCGGGATGAATCGATGTTCTCCCGCATCCACGTTCGAGCCACCCCAAAAAGACCTACAACTGGGGACCCCCCGGGGTCGTTCGCTGCGGGAACCGACCAGCACCTAGAGACGGACAGCCGGTCCGGTCCGACTGGGCACCCCAAGCCAATGATCCTTCTTGTACTCTCTGAGACCTGGCCGTGTGAAGCTGAACATGACTAAAAACGCAGACGAATTACCTAATTGTGTAGCTGAACGGATAGGAAGGGATAGGAAAAAACGACCGGAACGGCGACTTCTCCGCGACGACGACTTCATTGGCATCGACGAAGCCTTCGCGTCCTCCGTTTCGACCCAGTGGTCCGCCCTCTTCGGTCAGAACTGCCCGGTGCGATGGTACGAATCGGACTCCGCTCATCCGGTTTCAACATAAAGGCTTAACACCTGTTTCCAATCTGTTCCTGTTGAGTGGGGAAACCCATGTCCCCAAAAAAGGGGCTGGACTGGCGCTCGACTTGTCCGGACTGGCGCTCACCCTCCCTTCGACCTCCTTTTTCTCCAGGTCTGGCGCCAAAGCATCTGATGCGAAGATCCATCTCTGTCGCCCGGCTCCAGCCCAGCTGAGCGCAGAAAGGGTGACTGGAGACGCAACTGGCCGTGCGCGTTTCGTGCGCGACTGGACCTTCAAAATTCCTGGAGGGACCAAAACACTGGGGTTGATGATCGCGATGCTGCCGAACCACTCTAACCTGCTAAACCTGATGGTGAACGAAAAAAGATTCAGAACAGGTCGCTGATGATGCAATGACCTGAACACCATCTAACATCTAACTGAGTTGGCTTCAAAACACTAGATCGTGGACCCTTTCTGTGGTTCTTGGAGTGTACTCCTCAAAGGCTCCCCACACTTTTTCCTACCAGCACCTTTCAAACGGCAACCATTGTTGAATAATCCAAAGTCAGACTTGCAACCTCATTCCTCAGGTCGGCAATACACTCGTACATATGACACACTTTCATATTGCCTGTCGAAAGGCAAAAAATCTGCTTAACCTGCAAGGTTGGCAAAAGGAACCCCCCCCCGTTTACTTACCAACGAATATTGTTCAACTATGGCCGCGAGATTTTGACCCACAACTAAAATCTCTCCCGGATACACGAGAACGGCCATCCTGGAGGTTGCTGCGAAGCTGAACGCTTTCTTTGCTTCGCGATCATGAAAACCCCGGAAACGCTCGTCAAAACGAAACGCGAAAACCCTTGGAATCTCATTGAAACCATCGGGATCGTCTCGGTCGACAGACCAACCCATCTTACTGGTCTGAAAGATTACTTTCTGTACCAATCCCAATGAAATTCCTGGATCACCCTGGGTGGAAGGCCTTCCTCACAAACATGAATGAAACCTGATGTGTTGGTTGGTTTTGCTCCACCAAGTAACGGAATATATATAATGGAATTTGGTGATTGCTCTCCAACAAGTCGTGCCCAAACTTTCGGAAAAGGGACATGTTCGATCTCCCATAGGCCCTCTACAAATCAAAATGACACTATCGGCGTGACCATGCATGACCAAATAGGATCAATAAGAGCCGGGACCCATAAATCAGAAGGTGAGTCATCTGTCTCTCAGGCCCCCAAAGTTTCTGGAACATGTTTCTGCTTGAAACCACCCAAGAGATTGCTTGGAGACCGAGATGGCCCATGACAAATCTGCTGATGAGCCTCTGTGCCAGTGGAGGTAGTGACACCAGTGGCCGCATTGACAGCAATCAATCAGCTCGAATTCAAGTGTCCACACCAGGCATCAAGAGAGCGTACTGCTCATCTTTGGCAAATCGCGACGCTTGCTCAGCGTGTGAGACGTTCGCGACCGGACCACGAGGCCTTCAAAATTCCTGGAGGGACCAAGGCAGGGGCTGATGATCACGATGCGGCCGATCATGCTCAACAACCACTGAAACTTACAGTACTGAATCTGATGGTGAACGAAAATAGATTAAGAACGGGTTGCTGATGATGCAATGGCCTGAACACCATCTAACATCTAACTGAGTTGGCATTAAAATACTACACCGTTTGGAAAATTGTTGGCGCAACTCAAAAAACAAAATAGCGGAAACAGCCGCACCATGTGTTGTTTCTCGCTATTTGGCCGTCATAGATGGCGCAACTGGTCTTTGGAGGGCAGAAAGTTAAAATTATGCGGGACGTTTGTGTGGTTGCTGGTTTTCCCAATTTAAAAAAAAGAAACGTTTGGGGCCCATAGATGGCCCAATGGCCAAGTTCTGTACATTTCTGATTCCTTTTGCTTTCCTTTTGAATCCTATTCATGTCCCCCTTTGATTCCTTTTATCTTCCTTTTGATTTCCTTTTATATCCTTGCGATGTCCTTTTGATTTCCTTTTGAATCCTATTGATGTCCTTTTGATTCCTTTTGATTTCCTCTTACGGAGGCCCAAAAGATGGCGCGGTCCCAATCTCCACAATTTTCTACAAAATAGGGCGCGTAATCATGGAGAACCTTCCTGTTTTTTAGCCACGGGGCGCATAGATGGCGCAACACACCTGAATGTGCCTGATACCTAAACCTGGCGCAATTTAAAAAGTTAAGTCACCTCATCAATTTTATCATCGGAGTAGATCGTGGACCCTTTCTGTGGTTCTTGGAGTGTACTCCTCAAAGGCTCCCCACACTTTTTCCTACCAGCACCTTTCGAACGGCAACCGTTGTTGAATAATCCAAAGTCCCTTGACTTGCAACCTCATTCCTCAGGTCGGCAATACACTCGTACATATGACACACTTTCATATTGCCTGTCGAAAAACAAAAAATCTGCTTAACCTGCAAGATTGGCAGAATGAACCCCCCAGAATGTTTCCTTACCAACGAATATGTTTTGAAGTATGGAGGTTAGATTTTGACCCACAACTGAAATCTCTCCCGGACACACGAGAACGGCCATCCTGGAGGTTGCTGCGAAGCTCTCCAACAAATCGTGCCTAAACTTTCGGAAAAGGGACATGTTCGATCTCCCATACGCCCTCTAAAAATCAAAATGACACAATTGCGTGACCATGCGTGAACAAATAGGATCAATAAGAGCCGGGACCCATAAATCAGAAGGTGAGTCATCTGTCTCTCAGGCCCCCAAAGTTTCTGGAAAAATGTGTCTTCGTGAAACCACCCAAGAGATTGCTTGGAGACCGAGATGGCCCATGACAAATCTGCTGATGAGCCTCTGTGCCAGTGGAGGTAGTGACACCAGTGGCCGCATTGACAGCAATCAATCAGCTCGAATTCAAGTGTCCACACCAGGCATCAAGAGAGCGCACTGCTCATCTTTGGCAAATCGCGACGCGTGCTCAGCGTGTGAGACGTTCGCGACCGGACCACGAGGCCTTCAAAATTCCTGGAGGGACCAAGACAGGGGCTGATGATCACGATGCGGCCGATCACGCTGAACTACGACTAAAGCTTACTAAATCTGATGGTGATGGAAAAAAGGATCCGCTGGCCTGCCGGCGTCCCTTGTGGATGTTCTTGTATTGTATTCTTGCTTGCTATTGTCTATTGGAGTCTATTGCTTACGTTGTCCGTTGACCTTAGATTGCTCCTCCGCACGACATTTTGCTTCATCTAACTTGACCCCCCCTTCCCGCCCAGAGCTCTTGCCGGTTTCTTGGTTAGGGTTTTGTGATGACTTGAGCCAAGCTTACATGGTAGGTGCGCTGGACCTCGCACCGCATGTCGTGGTTGCTCATCTGCTTCTTGGCTTTGTCTTGACCTTTCCACGTGTTCATCCATTATCATTAGGCATGCTGGTAGCCTACCCCTTGGGATTTCTGTGCCAAATACACATGTCTCAGCGCCCACGCCAGCGACGGTTGAATAAAGAACAGGTTCCTGATGGTGCGATGACCTGAACACCATCCAACATCTAACTGAGTTGGCTTCAAAACACTAGATCGTGGATCCTTTCTGTGGTTCTTAGAGTGTACTCCTCAATGACTTGCAACCTCATTCCTCAGGTCAGCAATACACTCGTACATATGACTCACACTTTCATATTGCCTGTCGAAAGACAAAAAATCTGCTTAACCTGCAAGATTGGCAGAATGAACCCCCCAGAATGTTTCCTTACCAACGAATATGTTTTGAAGTATGGAGGTTAGATTTTGACCCACAACTGAAATCTCTCCCGGACACACGAGAACGGCCATCCTGGAGGTTGCTGCGAAGCTGAACGCTTTCTTTGCTTCGTGATCATGAAAAACCCCGGAAACGCTCGTCCAAACGAAACGCGAAAACGCTTGGAATCTCATTGAAACCACCGGGAGCGTCTCGGTCGACGGACCAACCCATCTTACTGGTCTGAGAGATTACTTTCTGTACCAATCCCAATGAAATTCCTGGATCACCCTGGGTGGAAGGCCCTCCTCACAAACATGAATGAAACCTGATGTGTTGGTTGGTTTTGCTCCACCAAGTAACGGAATATACAGTATACAATGGAATTTGGTGATTGCTCTCCAACAAGTCGTGCCCAAACTTTCGGAAAAGGGACATGTTCGATCTCCCATAGGCCCTCTACAAATCAAAATGACACTATTGGCGTGACCATGCGTGACCAAATAGGATCAATAAGAGCCGGGACGCGCCCAGAACGTGAGTCATCTGTCTCTCAGGCCCCAAAGTTTCTGGAACATGTTTCTGCTTGAAACCACCCAAGAGATTGCTTGGAGACCGAGATGGCCCGTGACAAATCTGCAGCTGATGAGCCTCTGTGCCAGTGGAGGTAGTGACACCAGTGGCCGCATTGACAGCAATCAATCAGAACGAATTCAAGTGTCCACATCAGGCATCAAGAGAGCGTACTGCTCATCTTTGCCGCAGAGACCTGAATCGTCGGAAAAGATTCCGCGCATCTCTCCCACAAAAGGCGACGGGTCCTCCACAGACCTCTCAGAAGCTCGTTTTCAGCGCCGCAATCGGGCCTTGGTGGCTGTCAACCTTTGCAAGTCATCTAAGTGGTGAGGCCGAAACCCAGTCGTCTATATAAGTTGGACGAATGACTCATGACTCTGACTGTTGATTTATAAAGAAAGTCCCCACATGAAAGCCATATGATGTGTTTTGTTCATCTAGTAGGAGGGGGGGTGATTCATAGCAGTCCCAGTCTTCGTCTTCGTCTTCTTCTTCTTCTTCTTCTTCTTCTTCTTCTTCTTCTTCTTCTTCAGTCACGGGTTCTCCGATCATCGATCAACCCCTTCCGCCGCGCCTCGTCGCTCCGCCCCATCTTCCTTCGCCTGTCCGTCGCGAGGAAAGGTACCAACACGATGGCCACTATGGGTGGTCGGTCTGATTGAGCCCGTAGACCAACGGGCCGAACCGGACGGCCTTGGTACGTCTTGGGTCTGATTTCCGAACCTTCCTAGGGGTCGAACTGGGGCGGCTCCCTATTTTAAACCACGGCCATACGGCAATATGGACAACGGGTGCCTCTTAATAGGTCAGCAATCCCGTCCTCAAGCCTCAAGCAGCAAAAAAGAAAGGCCACCCCCACCTCGTGAGCAAGCCAACTGCACATGCACATGCGCAACTGCGCAGCCTGCGCAGCCAGCCAACCAGCTCCAAATCTGCTCGCGCTGAAGCTGCGCCGGAAGCGGTCGCTTCCAGGCTCGCTGCTGGGTGGCAGAACTGCCGGCGGCTCCCATCTTCCGACCATCGGTGCTGAACAAGAGCCCCCACCCAAGCGGGCGGGAGGGGCGCCCGTTTGGGCGCCCGGCCGCCTTCCAATCTGTGCGCTCTTGGAACCAGCAGCTCCGGAAAAATCACGAGGTCTTGTCCAGAGCTCAATTGAAGAAGTTTGAAACAAGGTCAGCAGCTAGCAAGACACAGGTCAGAAGTCTCGCCCATGCTCAAGTTACAGGTTTTGATCATGGACTCACCCACTGCCCACAGGTAACTACAAGTAGATACAAGATGATACAAGTAGGATGATATCCTGAAGAATTCTGGATGCCTCCTTACCACCCAAACCCCACGGAATCCAGTGCTGCTCCCTTTTTCAGCTTCCAGTTTCCCAGTTTTTCCCGCCACACAGGCGCAAGTTCTCCCGCATCCTTTCTGGATTTGATTTGGGAAGACAATCCCACAACTGACCCATCTAAGTTCCCTCCTCCCACTTCATTCACCTTCACCAGATCCGCTCAGCTCGTCCACCGCTGGCCTCAGGCCGCCTCTACCCCAGCCCTCCGGCCGCAGCGCGTGCATGAGCGGCACGAAGCGTTCCAGGTCGCGGAAGGCGGACGAGCGGAGGGCGGAGCGGAGTCCAGGATGGCTCTCCAACAGCGGCTGGTCTTCATAAGAGTAGACCCTCGACATCTCAAAGCCAAACCACTCGTGCTTCGCGGAGGGACTCCAAGGAGACTTGAAGAAGTCAGCCGCATGCCTCAAGAGCTGTTGCAGCTCTGGCCCAATGAGCACGATGCTGAAGAAACCCTCGTTCTCTGAGATCTCGTCTGCCCAAGCCAAGATCAAGGCAACTTTCCTGTCCTCCAAAAGTAGCAGCGCCGCCAGATTGAAGAACTCATCCTGCCGACGACTGTAGCCTTGGAAATGGGATGCCAATGGGACCTCTTGGTAGCTTCTTGCTACGTTCGTAGCGATGCCCTTTGTTGCGTTCGTAGCTTCTTGTTACTAGTACCTAGTAATGCAGTAATGCCAGGAGCTACTAGTAGCTTCTTGCTTGTAGATTTCTCTCTATAGATACTGATCTGACGAACACCGGTTGTAGGTGATCAGGACTCTGCAGTTGGTGCGCAGTTGGTGTGCACAATTTGAGCATGTCACACAGGAATGCCAACGGTCAACAATCAATGCTGTGTGTGAACAATCCAATCAATACGACGAGACCCAATGCAAACCACTTCGTGCCGACTGAACAGCACGCAATCCGGTGAGCCCCGCTCGGGCAAGGGGCGCTTCAAGACGCTCCATGGCCCGCTGCAAAGGGCTCCAAGTTGAACATGGCGGGTAAAACATGGTGAAACTATATAAACCCATGGTCATTGGTTCTCGAACTATGCTTACTCATGTTTTCAACCTGGTCACCATAGGTCGCATCGAGGGCAATCACTGCCAGCGGCACCTTCGAGATCTCGCCCTCGGCACCCGGCAGCCGCTGCAGAAAGGTCGAGCCACGCATGCATGGCCGCGTGCAGCTCGGCGCAGCGGTCAGCTGTCGCCACAAGAACGGCAGGAAGCGCCGGAGGGCATGTCCCGTGAAACTCCATGAGACTGGCTCCAGCCAAGTGCCAGCGGCTTCATCGTAGGGTCGATGTTGAAAGGAAATCAGCTGACTCAAAGAGGCCTCCTCAAGGCTGGCGCCTTGGCGGCTCCCGCTCGCGCCGCGACCAGCGGTCAGCAAGGCTTGATGGATTTGGATCCAATCCTTCAGGCAGGTTCCATGAGTGCTCACTGGTCCCAGCAAAGGAAGCCGAAGGGCTGCAAAGCTCAGAATCGGCCCGTAAGGCCTGGGCCGACGGGCAACGTCGCAAAATCAAGTGTCAAGGGAGGCGTATTCCCAAGAGAAGGATTTCGATTGGCTCGGACAAACTTTCGAGGAATTCGCGGGGCCAGTCCCAATCCCTGATGAACAACTGGGTGTCAACTTATCACTCAATTCCAACCTTCCCAAACCCCTCCAAGACCCCCCAAGACGCGGCCTCAACACCTCGTGCAGCGCTTGCCGCGAGGCCCGGGAAAGCTGGACCAGCTCTTTGATCGAAAGCAAGTCTTCGACCACCTGCAGCAGGAAGACCTGTGGCAAGTCTTCGGCGTGGGTCTGCAAGCTGCGCAGGGGCACCGGAGGCAGGTTGGGTGGCAGGTGACGTGAACGAAGAACCAAGATTGCATACCAGGAGTCACATGTCGGCGTTGTTTTTGGTCCGCAAGTGAGTGGATAACGGGCACCCCTATCCTCCAATAGGCACCCTTTTGTGACTCCTGGTATATGACATATGACAGTTCCTCCAGCAAAGTCTGCAGAACGGCCGGGCGAGGAGACGGGCACTCTGCCCTGCCTGTCGGGGCACTTCAAAGAGTGCGAAAGGCTTGGCAGAATTCTTCATGGCATGGCCCACATGGCTTCATGCCCGGACTGCGTGCTGGGTTCTGGCTTCCGGACCGGGCATGGCCAGTATGGCTTCACATCGAACGGCGGCGGCCCACGGCACCGGGTTCGTGGAATGGTTCGGGGTACGGCCCCCACACCGTAACCATGTGAAGGATCCAAGGACCAGTCTTGACCTGGGCAGGATGATTTTTTGGTTGGCGGAGAGTTTCCTCGCTCGATTTGCTCAAGAGCCCGTGAGACAGTCTTACCGTTTTGGGATGCAATATGTCTTGAAGCCATTGTGAGGGGACACGTCTCATCATGGATGTTGGGAGGGTTGCAAGTCCTCGACCGATTATCTTTTCTTGGAAGGGTTTTGCGGGTCAACTTTTGCTGCTTGGCCTTCCGGGCTTCGGTTATGGCAGCTGCTCTGAACCACAAAGCTCCGCCACAACACGCGGACCACTCCACTTGATTCATTCGTCTCTCGGCGTGAGAATTTCCCCATGAAAACACAGGCACAAAGCCGGTCGCCAAGAGAGGCATCCTTGCTCCTAGTAGCGATACAGTCGCCAAGAGTTACCACGTGAAAATGAGCCCTTCTCCATCGAAACCGCCCTCTCCACACGCCCACCCCTCACGCCGAAAGCGGCCCCAAACAGCCGAAAGCGGCAGTTCCAGAGATTCACGATGGACTTCTGCGGCTCTTTGACCTTGGCCGACTCAAAGCAACCCGTTCCAGGAGCTGCCTGTCAGTTTTGGGGACTCTGGAGGCTCCCCGTGAGCTCTCCTGCCACAGTCCAAAGTGAAAGCTCACAAGTGAGCTCGGGGGGTGGTTTGAGTGGATGCGCCAAAACCAGGACCGTTCGAAGCACACCTTGCCAGGCACACCAATTGGAGGAGCCAAGGACCAAATACATCTCTAACAAGTGCGTTCCAAGTTCAACAGCTCCTCCAGAGCCGATTCAAGGCCCTCCGAGCGAGGAGGGAATAAATCTGAAAGACTATCTCTCGCAACCACTTCCCTAGAAGTCCAAAGACTAGTATTTTTGACCGGCTGGAGTAAAGGAAGTTCCCTTTCAGTTCACCTACTCAGTCAGACCATTCTTTTTATAGTCTGACCGACTCGCAGGGACTTTGTAAGGGAGATTGTAAACACCACAGTCTTCACATCATCCAGCCCCGTCGATTCTCCGCTGACGTCGATTTTCACACCGTGCCGCCGTGCCGCACGAGGTGTCCGTCCACACTCACCGCGGACGTGCAGTCGGACCTACAAAAGGTGTCCGAAAAAAAAAGATTTTGTCAGAGCCTGATTCGCCCCCGGCCAGTGCTACCCAGTGGATATGGGTCCAAAGAACGCCATCGTCCAAAAACTTGATATGTCATCGCTTGCATGTCCATCGTTCAGGCCAACAATCCTTCCAAGTCCATCATACTGATCCAAGGACTTAGTAAGTCCTTGAGGCTACCAAGTCCTTTCAAGGCAGTGGTGCAACGGGTGCTGTCGGAGTGTACCCAGACAAACACATCACATGGAAGTGGAAAAAATAGATCCTTGGAAGGACTGCTTTCCTTTAGGGACAGGACAGGGGAGTTTCCACTTCCACTTCAATCAGTCTCCAACTACCTCCGTTTCGAAGATGGTTGGGGTGGGTGGCAGGGGGTCTGGGCCCACCGAACCTGAGGATATGGGCCAGGAGCCCTAGGGCCCTAGGGAATATGGAACTCCACTTCAATCAGTTCCGATTCTCAGAACAGTTCCCCCTTTGCAACACACGTGTCACCGGTGCACATGTCACCTTTCTGCACCGTCGTCCTGCGTTCACGTTCGGAGACCTGAGGACCAAAAGAAACCGAAGAGGTACGGATCCAGAGTAGCTTGAAGTTAAGTGAAGTTAAGTCATACATCGAAATATGTTATAGATTGAAGTTATCATTTATATTCATTATAGATCTGCATAGACTCAAAAGGCTCGTGTGTCTGATCAAGCCTCCACTTCTTTCACAAGAGTCTGAGGGTCTCCAGCGAATCAGCTGCCCTAAGACCTAAGCGCGATCGCGTGTTTCACGCGTCCATGTCATCGGTAGGCAGTGCTTCCAAACTCAGTCGCAGACAGCTGCAGCAAGACGCATGAAGGATCCCAAGACCCAACCAGCAACTGTCAGCCTACCGAGACCCAACTCGCGCAGAAAACATCCATGCCGTATGGTTCATGTCAAGTGACGCAGGGCCCGAAAGCCACCCCAAAAATGAGGACTGTCTCTGTGACTGTGGAGCCACTGTGGAGGCACTTGCCCGATGACAGGGAGTGCAGGACTTGCCAAGCACACAGCTTTATGTGTTGCTGCCACAAACAGTGGCTGTTGGTCGCTGAAAACTGCACACTGCATGGCCGGGGCCAGCTGTGCCGGCCACTCGGGGTCAGCTGTGCCGGTGCCTCAAGAAGTAGATCGATTCGGTGTGAGCAACAACAACAACAACAACAACAACAAGGTACAAGGTACAAACAAAAACTGCAACCCCGTTGCACCACATCTTCTTTCGTAGAAACAAATTCTGCAACCCCGTCGTTGTTTTTTGACCCCCCCCCAAAACAACCGGACAACAAGCACTTTACTGCTACTACTACTAGTGGTACTAGTGCTACTACTACTAGTGGTAGACACCCCACCCCGGGACGTGTGGACAGTGCGCGGGGCGTGTGCGGAGGCGGAGGGGGTGGAAACCCGGTTCTCAATCTATGCACTGAAAATCAGTCTTTTCTTGGAGACTCCTGGAAGTTTTTGGACTGCAATGGAACAGGGTCTATGAAACTCCTCTGAGGGTCATGCTACTGGTGATGCTTATTGTAACTGGTTAAGTAAACCCTGTAAAGCTTCTACTTAGAACCTCTACCACATCCTAGAAACAGGAGCTGCAACCCCGTGGTTGTTTTTTGGACCCCCCCCCTTCCAAAAGATGTTGTTGTCTCTACCCCCCCCTAGAAACAAAATCTGCAACCCCGTTGTTGTTTTTTGACCCCCCCCAAAACAACACAACAAAAAACAAGAAGCAGACCAACCAAGACTTGAGTACCACAACGACAACAAGTCCAGCTACTAACATCTCTCCAAACCTTCGACCCTATCCCTAACAGAATCCCATTGACATCCCTGACTTGCAACATGTGACAACTATGTTGGGCGGCTGCTTTTGTCTCTACCAACAACAACAACAACAACAAGGACCATAAGGACAAACAAAATCTCAGGCGGTCAGACCAATTAAATCCAACTGTTGGGAGATGTGTCCAACTGGGCTCAGATGGCCGAAACCGTCCTTCATATCTGGTCCAGACTGCCGTATCGTATCTCTTGGTCAGCCTGGATGTCTCCATGACTTCACGGTCCAGTTCGCAGCACGAGAGTTGCCAAACGAAGAAAGCACATCCAAGACTTCACGGCCTATGGAAACGGCATGCTGCTGGCCCCGAAGCGGAGATCATTAACGGAGTTGCTTGGGTGTTTCAAGGCCCAAAACGAGGCGGTTTTTCCCTCGCAGCTCAGGAAACTGCTCGGAGTGCAGGAGATGTCAATCTCAAAGACCATTAAGCAAAAGGCGGCTGAAACCATAAGAATGTGTGGAATCCATTCTTGCACGATGAGCTTGGTCCTGGCTTCTTCTACTGGCTTCTTCTACTTCCCCCGTTCCTGCGGCAACCTCTTTGCTTGATAAAGACCCTGGTGGAAGGGTCTTTCAACAAGCACTCATCATGATACTTTCTCTGTGTGAAACCCATTGGAAGCTGTCCTGCGAATCGGGTTCCACGCTCGGATTCTTCTAGAGTGTGCTTGCACCACAGAACTGGAACCCCCTAGACCTGTGTGTCACCGATGTCACCAGTGTGACACCTGTTCTGTTGCCCCAACACCCTCCACAAAGAAAGCCAGAGCCACTGTTCGAAACATTCCGGACTTCTTTCGGACTTCATTTCAGAACATCTCCCAGCTGCGATCACTTGGTCACCGGCTTCGTACGTCAGACCCGCCCCGGAGAACCTCCCGCGACTCCCGCATGGCTTCGCTGACGGGCGACGTCGCAGCGCGGACTGTTTGGTCTGCAACCTGTCCAGGGCTTCCCTTCCGGCACCTGAAAACCATGGCACCTGAAAAACAGTCCGAAAGGTCGAAAGGAAAAGGAACCACTCATGTTTTGAAGCGAATCCTCAACCGTATCGTAGGTCAAGAATATAGGACGTTCCCAAATAGACAGAAACCGGATTCCAATACATTCTTAGTGGGTACTGTTCTATCTATTTGGGGGTCTATATACTGGCATATACTGGCTAATTGGTAAACCAAATCTCTTTTTGGACGACCCACCAGACTCCTCGTTGGTCGCCCGCCGACGCAGGTTGCACCGACGCCCCCGACCCCGCTCAAGCCCCCATCTTCACCTGCGTCGAGAAGCAGAAGGATGCAACGTGAGCTGGTCGATGTCTTTTGCCACCATGTAAACTGTCAATGTGTTGATGTATCAAACATGATAAGACATGATAAGACCAGCTAGACCAACCCCGGCAGGCCTGCTTGGCAGGATGGTTTTGGGTGTTCCAATCCATGTCTGAAAAGTATTCATCGCGAGTCCTACAGTCCGACCATGATTGATCTGACCATCGACCGGGGACGTCGTCAGACCGGCGCCTCGGTTGGAGGCCATCGCTATGCTCGGTTGGAGGCCACTACTACTAGTTACTAGTAACAAGAAGCTAACTAGTAAGATGTATCAAGACTCTCTTCCAGGAAGACATGGAGTTGGGTGGTTAAGACTCTCGTCCCATCCAGTGAATCGGCACCCCGACTTCCTCCGTTCGTTCGGCACCCCGTCTTGTGATTCCTGGTACCCTTAGAATGAATAGAATCCAGACTTTGACACACCCATCGCAGACCAAGAAGACCCCGTTCACGCCGTGCATCCCTCTCATTTGCACATGTTGGCACCTAAAAACGTGACTAAAGACCATTTAAGGCCCATCCGCTCATCCAAGCACGTGCCCCTCTTTGTCTTCCACCCTCCCCTCCCGCGCCACCCCCGCAATCCCACTCCCCGTTGGCGGCCTTGGATTCGAAGAGGCGCATCAGCGTCTCGTAGGTGCCTGGGGCCGCAGGTGACCCGCGTGCGGGACGTGGTTCCAGTGAGTGAATTCACTGCAAAAGCGGCTGCAGTCGTTGGGGTTTCGCGGCAGAAATGGTGCTTTGTGGTGCGTGGTACGTGAAAAGGTTCACCTCCTAGTAGCGTTTCAAGCATCTAATTTTGACACCAAACGAGCAAGTTTCCACCCAAGGAGAAGCTGAACGGCCAAACCGATCGAAATTCGTGGTGGGCTCCTCGCCACGCTCCTGCCATCGTGAGAACTCCTGCAAATGCGCACTCCTGCGAACCCTATGAAACCATTCATCCGAGCAACAAAGGAACGGCCATTTGTGGCTGTAGCTCATTTGGGTGTTTACCCAGAAAAATAGAAGTTGAGCGGAGGACATATCCACCCAAACCTGCAGATGTTCTGCTTTGTGAACTTTGTGTGCAGCAATGACCGGTGCCGCAGCCACACTGAAAAATGTCTTCCCTCACCTCTGGAAAAACAGAACATCGCAACACGCCGCCCTGGCCCTGGCACTAGGCATCCTGCCATCCTCTTCTGCCTCCACCCTCACTAGGCCTCCGGAAAGC